TAAAAAGACAGTTTTCCGCAAATGTCCATACCATATGGTTTCCCCAAGAACAGGGACTTCTTTGCATGTGTTCCCTTCAAAAAAAACAATTTCTTGAAACTGTTTCAGGAATGCTTGAGCGCATGGGCTCAGAGAAACTCTGTAAATCCGCAAGGTTCGGAGACCGAAACCCGAGCAGAACTATGGCAATTGACGAGAAACAGGAAGATTCACCACTCTTCACCAGTATATGATCCACTATAAGCAAATATATATATATATATCTATATCTAAATATATATATATATATAATGATATATATATAATGATATATATATATAATGATATATATATATATAATGATATATATATAATGATATATATAATGATATATATAATGATATATATATAATGATATATATATAATGATATATATATAGTATATATATATATTATTCCCTTTGAACTTCAAGGAAATACCTGAAAAATCTGGACTTCAATGATTCATTGAGCCACGATCCTATGATTTGGCACATCCGCCAAGACACCCCAAACGAAACTCGCTGCATCCGTCATTCGGCGGAAGGACATCTCCTGCCAACGGGCAACGTCAAGGAGATCAAAGATGTGATTTGGGTAACAAAAAAGCATTAACATGTTCCATGCATGGATGTCTCAGATGTCTCTATGAAATTTGTATCATTTGCTACCGCAGTATGTGTATCATTCCATATTATATAGATTCATATATTTCATTACTCAATACAAGTGCCGTGCTGTACAATAGCTATTTTTTCCGATGACCGTGGCACAAAAAACTGAATAGAAACATCATCAGAGAAACATACAATTTGGCAGTAATCTACACCTATCCATTCAGAATCAACACATATTTCCTGCCCTCCCATATTTTCATATATGTTGTGTGTTCCCAGGAAATTAACCATACTTTGCACACACTATTTGAGGCCATCAAATTGATGGTTGCCAGGTTGCCCCTTTGTCGTCAAACGATATTGCAACATCATCGTCGGCACCACAATCTTCTGCTTCCAGATTATCATGAATCTTGGGCAGCAAGAAATCTAAAAGACTGATAGAACATGCTACTAGGCACTGAAGATGGAACGGATTGGAAACCTCATGGTCACAATATGCTGAACTGGTTGGTAGTTTCAACTCGCCCCTATAGCCATGGGATCTCATTGGTCAATTGAAGGTCCCTTAATGTCCCTTAATGGAATGGAAATGAGATGGAATGGAAAGCATATATATATATATATATATACACGACATAAAACATTTGAAACGCCACTCAAGAACTTGGAACCACCTTACTTTTTTTTCCCGCATCCATATCAGGATCCTTCAGATCCAAAAAACGGATCCCGGTATGCCTAGCCCCGGTCCTGTGCACCTAAAGTGCCAGTGAGAGTCAAAGCATCCGCCGACATCGTCAGCGAAACTTTCATCTCCTCCCATCGGAACATCTTGGGTACCCCCCAGCTGCACAATGCCCCTGAGGAATTTTCAACCATTTACCCTCTGGTTATGACTAACATAGCCATGGTATAGATGGCCCATAGAAATAGATGGTTTACCGTTCTTAGAAATGGGTGGATTTTCCATGGCTATGTTAGTCATAACCAGATGGTATGTCTTTGCTTTGCGGAATGATAATCTACTGAATCTACTTCACTGGGGTTCACTGTAAAACCCATCTCCATCATCCACACTGATCGCCAACCCCTTGGTACTCCCCAGCCATTGCGGATCCGCTTGGTTCAATCTCCATGTTTGGTGAGATTCCCAAAGAAACTGTCGCAGATCCTGCCAGTTGTTCCTTTTTTCAGCCTCCGGAATCCAGCCTTTGTAGATCATGTTTGAGGTAAAACCACGAATTTTCCATCTCGATTTCGGTTTACTAAAGGACAACTTGTTCAACGGAAGTCGATGTGAAATCACACACCTATAGTCTGCCAATATTCCTAATTACTTGTGAGTCAAGTTAAGTCCCAGCTAGTATAGGTGATTGTTGAATAGTAATGGATACCACAAAAAGAATATTTAATATTTATACGTGGAACATGATCAACCATGAGTTTTTACTGGGTGTTAGGGTACTTTCAAAGATTCAAACAAACCCAGATGGGTGTGTCTGAACATGGGGTATACCCCAATTTATGGTTTGTTGAATTACAAACAAGTGACCATTCATCATCATTTACCATCAATCACCAATGGGTTTAGCAATCAAAAAAAAAAAACATAAAAAAGCACCATCCTTCACCAGAATTTGTTGGTCATGCTACCCTTCCAAGCCATCTCCAGATTGCCTCAGCTTCATTGGCTTCATCCTTGGCCACTCCCGTCAAGCTGCGCTCTGTCGCCTCGAGGAAATCTCTGTTGCTGGGGAAATGTTTATTATATCATTATCATATGATTGTTGTTGTATATGTATATATACAATTAAATTATATTGTATAATAGACAATGTTGGTAATGTTGGCAATGTTGGCAATGTTGGCAATGTTGGCAATGATGGCAATGTTGGCAATGTTACCACTGTTGGCAATGTTGGTGTGTGTGTGTGTGTCAATCGTCTAGAGTCTATAGATCAACTTGCGAACAAAAAACACAGTAAACAATTACTTACCACGCTCTAAATGAACCTACATAGGCTAATCATATATGCAGCATTGAGAAAGAAACAACCTGAAACAAGAGGAATGGACAAATCCTGTCTAAGATTCTCCTGCTGTCATCGAGCGGGGAGAAGAAAGCTTCGACCAAACTTCAGTGCATGGGCACCAAAATCCCACAACTTTCAAGACATGTACCAACCCCTGCGCTCACCAACAATGGCCAACCGGCAGATGTGTTTCCACGAGCACTTCTTCCAAGTTGCGTCATACTGGCAAATGAGGCACCTTTCTTGTGGACCAGTTTGATTTCCTGATTCTCAGTCGCCAGTGAATTGGTGACACATTGCATGGACAATCAAACTTTTCAGATCCTCTAGTGGCCGCATAAATCATAGAGTAGCCTGGTACAATTGGATGCTTTACCGCTTGACCGCTTGACCCTATGCTTCTTGGTAAATTTCCCACCTCCGGGGTGCATCAAAGACCTCTGAGTTTGGGTTCATTTTCAGCATTTTCACATCTTAAAGTTTCTGGATTATCCCGATATCCCATTGATTGTCTTGCTTTAGTCCATATGTTTTCTTGGTTGGAGCCTTAGTTCTTGACAAAACAACCCAATATTTTGTTGCTTCAGTGTCCATCTTTTGTAATGAGATCCCAAGATATTTGCAACTTCAGTCGCCCAGTTGTTCATGGTGAAGCACGCAAGTTGTTGCAGGGTGGTTATTTGGTCCCTTGCTAAGAGTTTAACCCTCTCATCTCATCCCCCAAAGAACCCAAAATAGAACAAGATCGGTATAATCATATTATCATTATGGCCACAAAATGTATTTAGATATATATCATTATATAAATTAATATAAATTATATATCTAATAATAAAACAACATCGGTATAATCAACATCATTTAAGGGTGTTTACCACTTTGGCCATCAACATTCAGCCATCCAGCGACAAAACAGACAGCCATCGCCGCAACAAGAATCTCAAGAGCCACAGGCGTCCACTCGTTCCGGCTTCATCGACTTTCAGGGCACAACGACCATTGCCACTGCTCCACCTGGTTTTAAAAGGCGTGGCGGACAAGAGTTTTCCCGGACTTGATGGACATTCCATTCAGTTACGATAGTGATAAGCAAGCGATAAGGCTAATATATGGATATAGTAAAAATATAATAAATTATAATAAACTATATATCAATTATCTCATCTATAAGTGCTTTACATGGAAATTTCCGTACTAAGTAACGTTTTTGTAACGATAGCAGTTATAAGTTACATGCATATCTGTGTGGGATAAGCCACGAGTTTCGGGGACTGACGATCACCAGGCTTGGCAACCGATGTTCGACAAAGCTGCACCTGCCACTCATGGACTTGGGCTTTTCAGCAGCCTGGTCAAGCAAAAGATTGCAAACAAATATGCCATGTACAGGATCGGGCCCCCAAGATAGCTAAATTGCCTTATAAGTGGTTTAACTATGGTTTATGCTAGAGATATATATATATATATAACTATAGTTAATGGGGTGTATGAACCAATTTATGAAATATTTATGACATCTTATAACTGGGGCAGCATCCTGTAGGATCTTTGTTGCAGAAGTTCATGTTCAAAGTGGAAATGTGCCATGGGTAAACCTTTCATTGTTTCCAAGCATGTTTGGTTTTGAGAATAACCAGCTGCAATCACCTTTAGGGGGTGGGGGAGAGTTTTGTTGTGAGAAGCTAGACTTGGCTCACCCTGAAAATTTGGTGTGGGCTGCGTGGGCTGCGTGGGCTGCAGCAGCCAGCCGCATCATTTTGCGCTCTTTGGCCGTCGTCACAGGCCTTACTGTACTGGCCTTTGGCAAAGGTCTCTGCTGTGGCGAATGTTGGGGCAAAAAAACAATTTAATAATATAGATCAACCTCAAGCATCAAACATTTGTCACAGCAGGCCTATCATGTGAGATGGGATCTCTGGTCACCCATGCTCAGCTGATGGACAAGGCTTAGCAAGGAGGCAACAGTGCAATCACTAGACTTGTCTGATCTTGAAATGGCTCCGTTTCTACTGTTTTCAGCCCGATCTCATGAGTTTGTGATCCTTGCCCATCAACCCTGCCTAAAACAAACCTTTTTTCATCAGTGGCCCTTCCCTATGTTTTGAAAAGTGCCGAAACGTCACATCCCTTCCGTGGCGATCGTTGTGCCGTGGCGATCGTTGTGCTGGTCTGCTGGTGCATGACCTTCTGGCTACCCTCTGGTAATTTAACAGGTTGCTATTGAAACCATGGCCATTTAGTTCGTTGATTTACCTACTAAACATGGTGATTTACCTATCGAACAAGGTGATGTTCCTCTTAGCCATGGTGATTTTTCATATATTTTGTATTTTTTTGTAGCTTTACCGCTACTTCACCGTGACCTCAATGATAGGTAGCACCGATGAATAGTCCGCCGGCAGAGTAAAGACTTCGATGATGGGATCCTGTGCGATCAGCAGGGTGTTACGCGTACGTGTCCTATGTTCGGACAAAGCCACTTCCCTTCAACGCGCAAACGTCCTATGTTTGGACCCACCCATTTAAAATATGACCCTTACACACACTATTAATTGCTTAAACAGAAACATCTTAAACTATGTTTTGGTGTACCCTCTGGTAATTTAACATAGCTATTGAAAATGGCCATTTATAGTAGATTTTCCCATTAAAAATTGTGATTTTCCATAGTTATGTTAGTTTACCAGAGGGTAGTTATAATCTGATTGGTGGTTTGGAACATGATTTTTTGTGACTTTCCATTCAGTTGGGAATGTCATAATCCCATTTAAGTCAATGTCAAACTCGGATGAAGCCATGGTTTATTAATGTTTATTAATTAGGGGGTACTCCTATGGGAACTAAAATCCATCATCTTTTCGTCCGAGTTTCTCCCAGCGGCTTTCCAGCCACCATCTGCCGCACCAACACGGTGCCCCTGGAGGCGCCCATGGCGCCGGAGCTGAAGTACTTCACCCCGATGCGGTAGCGTCCCGGCCGCGCGTCACGGGCGACCGAAACCACTTCGGGGCCCAGGCCTTGCGTTTGATCACTGTAGTAACCTTAGAAATCCCATGGAAAATCCCATGGAAAATTGGAAAATCCCATGGAAATCGATAGAAAATTGGAAACTCCTTCGAAATCCCATGGAAAATCCATGATCCAAGAGGCTGTTTAAATCACCAAACATATGATAAACATGCTGATTGATGATGGCAAAAGGTAAGGAGTTCAGCATCAACAGCGGGGGTTGGACTACTGAACATGGGTAGTTTCATCGTCAAAATGGGTGAGCTCACCATGAAAAAAATGAGTTTTTTTTTCGCCATGAACGACTACGTAGGTTTGAATATCAAACCTGGAGATTCAACTGGAAAAAAATGGTTTGTGCATGGAATGCTGCTAATTGATGTTAATTGATTGGTTCAAGGGAAAATCTGAAACTGGTTGGAAGCTAGAACCCCTAAATTGATTGGGGGTTCTGGATTGAATTTTGCCAGCAATTCTGGGATAGAAAACTATGGGCTACGGATAAGAATGACTGGGCCCACAAAATGAATATTTCAGTATCCTAAACGTTATGAAATTCCGACATTGCATTGATACAGTACCGATGTTTGGCCCGCAGCCAATGGAAAGTGATGTTGCTGATCATTTACTCAATGGACCAAAATTTTGGAAAATCGGTGTAGTATGATGATGTTTCCTAAATTGGGAACACATGGCATTTTAGTGGATGCAGCAGTTTACCAGTATTGGATGCTTGGTAGGAACTTTGCAAATGCATGGAAAACGGCAACTATGAAGCAAATCAATTCTTTTGCGGGGGTTGACAATGTTTGGCCACCAAAAAGTGATGCTCGACCCTGAAGAACAGAAACAAACAACAACTATAAGGGCCCTCGGATGGAGGTAGGGGTAATCAAGTAAATTCGAAGCAAACAAAATCAACTACAAGTATACCTCAAAACCACTAAGCCACTAAGGGAAATTATCTTTCAAAAAATGGTGATGTTTGATCTGCAGGCCCAAAGTTGTTGACTTGAGTGCAGTGGTTGCTGCTGGCCTCAAAAACGCTGTAGTGATTTTGCCACGTGCCAATGAAGTAGATCAACAGCTACTGAGGAGAAGCTTACAACTCACTGGCAAAGAATGGTCGATTGGCTGACTGTATAATATTAAACAGTAATAACAAAATATGGCCTTATATGGTACAGTACCTCCATTTTAGGATCCTGGAATTCCCATTGGTAATATATGGTAATATAATATTGTATAATCATGGTCCTTTCCTCTTGTCCAATCCCAAGCACGTGATCACTTGATCTAAAAGGGATTCCCCCAAAAATGGCGCCACCATGGAGCTAAGGCGCTAAGGCCCAGCTTCGTGGATTTGTGGCCATAGAAACACTCCTCTCCATCTGGGTCTATGACGTGCAAATCCACATCATTGGCATCCTGAGGATGGTGAGGATGGTGAGGTCAGCGCGATCATGATCATGATCATGATCATTATCTCATAGCTAGGGGTGGAACATTCAAGACAACTATCTTAGTGAAACATCCCGCCGGACCGGAAACCGTTCCCATAAAACGCACGTTTTTTAAAAAAATGGTGATTTTACCACAGTGCCGTGCTGATTTGATGATTGGAAATCCTGGAAAAACTTGGGGCGTGTTTTTTGGCTTTTCAGCGTCATCGCTGCAACGCATGCACCGTTATCAGCTGGCAGTCAGCATTCTTGTGAACGCATCTCCATTGGGAAGCTCTAGCATACACCATCAAGAGGTCACTTTTGGCACTCAAGTTGCTGGGAATTGACTTTTTCATCAGATTCCACTTTCAGCAGCGTAGCAACATGTAACGTAGGAAACGATCCCGGAGATCTCAGCAGCGTAGCAATATTTTATGTACGAAGTACAAGGAACGTTAACATGCCCCCCCCACCCCACCCCACCCCAGCAGCAGCGTAGCAACATGTAACGTAGTAAACGATCCCAGAGATCTCAGCAGCATGGCAATATATCATGTACGAAGTACAAGGAACGTTAACATGCCCCCCCCCCCCCCCCCCCCCCCCCCCCCCCCCCACACCACCCCACCCCACCCATCAGCAGCGTAGCAACATGTAACGTAGTAAACGATCCCAGAGATCTCAGCAGCGTGGCAATATTTCATGTACGAAGTACAAGGAACGTTAACATGCCCCCCCCCACCCCACCCCACCCCACAGCAGCGTAGCAACATGTAACGTAGTAAACGATCCCAGAGATCTCAGCAGCATGGCAATATTTCATGTACGAAGTACAAGGAACGTTAACATGCCCCCCCACCCCACCCACAAATCGCGATATTCAAAAACGTGCGTTTTACGGGAACGGTTTTCGGTCCGCAGGCTGAAACATGTAAACATGTAACAAGACTAAAGATCCAGGAAGAAAAAAACAGTTAATTATAGTTAATTCCCCTATACCAGATCTGATGGAAAATCACAGCTGTTCTGAACCACTCACCAGCATCTGTGAGCCAAGACATAGAGATCCACAATGTGATGCTTTCACCCTCGCTGGGTGACACTGATTTCAGCTCATTGGTTGTTAGATCCTGGAAGACCTTGGGAGAGGAATCTTGAATACTCCGCAGTAACAGTGCAGCTTCTTCTCGGATGATTCTCTTCACATCACCATAACGTGGATGAAATTCAGTGTTCAAAGCGCGGGCATAGGTTTTGCCTGCAGACAGAAAATCCTCGGACTTCCAGTACGCCGCGGCCAGGGCACGATATGTGTTCACGTTGTCCTGAGAACAACGTAGCAAAGGCATGACGCTAGAAGCTTGTTCACTCTTCCACGCTCAAACCTCCCAGAATGATATGTTCAGCTCACATCGTCTTCAAGAATCCATCGATTATACCCCAATTCTTACCCCCCATCATCCCAGCATTTAATCATCCACATTCATCCACCAAAATAAAACCTGGGTCACCCTTGGTCTACAAACACAAAACCATGGTTTCACTTTTCAACGGATTCTTCAACGAAAATCCGAAAAGAAACACTAGCTGTCACTAGCTTTTCATCCTCCCATCGTGCTTTTCTTCAAAATCCACTTAAATTCTAAGTGCAAAACCACTTCCAAATCCCAATTCTATCAACATCTCCAAATCTCCATCCATATTTTCCATCCTTTTCCCATCCATTTTTCATTTTGTGCCCCGGATCCGGTCTCCTCCCGTTCCTCCAGGGACCTCGTGGCGAACCGCACCGCCCACGGTGTGGCCTCGGTGCCCAGCACCAGCGTCAGCCAGGCGCCGCGCAGCAGCTGCTCCGAGCTGCGCGGCGCCACCTCGGCGATGGACGTGGCGGCGCGTAGCGAGAGCGTTGCCTCGCCCAGGAGCCTGGGGAGGATGGGGGAAGGAGGTATAAAGACCCAATGTTTATTTATAATATATCTGGGTAAATTATAATATTATTTCACTAACCTGAATTAGATTTCCCTTACTAACCATGATTTTCAGTGAGGTCGCAGTGAGGTCGATATATATATATATATTATCAGGATATACTATATCAGGATTTTTAGTATTTCTATATCAGGACATACTATGTCATATCATTGGGATGGTGACAAAGTTGAAGTGTGGATTGGGAATTGTTGGGGATTTTCACTTAGATATCATGAATTGCGAAAAGATATCATGAGTGTTGTACGTTGGATTACTATGTTGAGTATAGTCATGGTTTTTAAGCGCCAGTTGTAAAATGGGGATGGGGATGGGGGATGGAATGATGAAACACAGGAAAATTCGTGGAAACACATAGATCTACAATAGAACTTCAAAATGGCTATGAGGGATAGGAGGTATTAATAGCCCATTAGTAAGTTGGGTATAACCCATTATAATATATACAGTATTTATATATCCAAATGAGGGAATAGGGATACGATTAAACATAAAAAGATGGGGATGGGATGGGGATGGGATGGAAAAATTGGAAAATACTGCAAAATACTGCAAATTAGGGTGTCTATAGTGGAAGTTTGAGGGAATGGAGTGTAATCATTAGTAGGTTGAGTTCGAAGATGGGGATGGAATGAGTGTAGACCATAGGGGTCGGATCGGGGGATCCTATGGGTACAATTGGAAAGTCATACCATCGGAAAATGTGTGCAAATGGACATGGATTATGGAGGGGTACGTAGACTTTCGATTAAAGCTAAATATACGTGTTTTCTATTTGTTCTATTTTTTTCTTGGTTTTGTGGGTCCTAAGCCGATGTTAGGGATGGAGATGGCTTATCTTTTTGGCCGCGCACCCGGGAAGCTTGAATGAGAGTGCAGTAAATGGGGTAAATTCAGCCGATCTCGAGTTGTCAATTTTGACCATGAAATTCTTGGAAGTTGGGTGTTGAACTTTTATGGACTTCTGGATACTCCTGGTATCATCAGAAACGGTTTCATGGAGATCTCAAGCCCAGGGGCTGCGCAGCCTTACTGAGATACTCGAAGGCCAAGTCGTTGGTCGGATCCCAGGTGATCCAGCTAGCGCAATAGCTTCCTGTGAACCAGGTCAGCTGACTGAGGAAACTCCGCCCCCCCCTCACCACGATCACCAGCAACCCCATCCCATCGCTGCCAAGATGCTCAGCTTCTCTCCTTGCCGTTTGCTCCACAGTGCTGCTGCATACTTCCCGGCGACCTCGCGCAGCCTCTCCGTGGGCCCCCGGGGACCGTGTTTCGCGATGATGGCATCAGCATCGGTCTCCAAATCGGCCCATTGGGCACAGATTCCATCCAACCAACCTGGGCTCAGAATCCCAAAAGAGAAGTAGGGCACTCTTTGGGATCAGCCGACTTACTAACCATTGTAAATTGTAATCATATATGCATATATACACATTATAATTATATATATATATATATACACATACACATTATAATTATATATATATACATACACATTATAATTATATATATATATTATAGAACCATATACAGTATGTATATATATAATATTATATAATCATATAGTGAAGTCCCTGTGAGGTTGTGATGTCTTGACCAAGTGAAATGGTTACTATACCAAGATTTGGACCAAGATTTGTGCCCCCACGACCCATAAGTTTGGGCTAATTATAAAGTAAGATATGGGGCACCAAAGGGGATGCGAATTTGGACTTTTGGTTGTAGGAAAGCGTCCCATGTTTGCGAACCACTTCGAGCCAAATCTGGTTGGGCTTGATGAAATACATTTGAATATGTCATAATATATCATATCCCAAATTTTATTTCAGTTGGCTAAAAATACTATATCCCAAATATCAAATACTATATATAATAAATATGATATTTCAGTTGGTTCGGGAATTTTCCAGCAGCAATCCCCACATCACTCCTTGCAAGTCCAGCGACATAGCAGGAGCAGCAGCAACCAGGTCACAGAAAAGGCCTCCGGCTGTAGGATTCATGGGGCTTGCATGCTTTTACCCAAAATAAACGACATATTTATATATTTATATATAATTTATATATAATGCTCAATTGCAGCTTTATTCTATTCACTATTGGGTTTACCAGTTGTATCACTTCCACAAGTTCCTGTTGGTGTCCCCATTTGTATATCCACGTCTCCTGTCAAACACCCACCTTCTGGGCTCCAGATGTTCCCATATCGGGGCTGCTCGAATCCACACGTTGCAACATGAGATCTGGGTCCTCCACCTCAGTTTTCGGGGAAACATCCGCCTAGTTGGATATGTGGTCAGCGTATTGTGGTTGCATACTAACATCTATAGAATCTATAGTATGCTGTGTACTGGTATGTGTAGTTTGTACAGTACATATATACATATATATATGTATATTATGTGCAAGTATCCAAAGATTCAGTTTGCAAGGGAGCAACAACACATTGGAACCAAAGCGGGTCTCTTGGATGAATAAAGGGAATAACAAGGAATAACCTCTTGGTCACTCAGGTATGATTAAACCATTGGCTACACATGACCCAAAATGACCTAAACAAAATGTTATTTGTAAGTATCATCCATCCCAAAACAGGTTTGAATCATCTTGAGTCAACATAATTAGCCCTAAACCAAGTAATCCAAGTAGTACAACTCCGCAACAAAGGCGAGTTCTTTGATTCCTCATTGGTTCGCCATAATTCACCCGCCACGAGTCACAGCAAGGCACCCGAAGATTACATTCACTTTGGCCAACTTCACAGGATTCGGTGCTGTTGCTGGCATTGTAATCCGGAATCAAACCTGGGAGGATGCCCTGATTTCTCGGTGAAAATGGTCGCCATCTTTTTGTTGCTAAAACCCAAGGACATTTTGCTGGTGAAATCTATCCCGTCTTTAGACTCGATAAAATCCCTTGTAGTCCCACTTCTCTTCACGTTTATTCAATATCAGACCAGCAAATTGCACAAAGTACGTACACTATAGAGTATATAAGAAAGTATTTATTGTACATATAAGAAGGTATATAAGATGCATTTATTATCATCTATTTATGTTATCATATAGTCATATATAATCCTTCACCAAAAAACCTTCCAATTCTTGGCTGCTCAAAGGTGTGGGCAATGGCCCCAGCTTCAGATTCTGCCGTTCGGTCAGCTGCACCCCCGTGGAGCTCACGGTCAAGATGGGCGACAGGCGATCCTGTGGAATCCCAAAACGGACGTAGTCCTCATCCGTCTCCAGGACCAACAAAGCCTGAAACGGGAGGAGACCAACAGCCTGGCTTTGTGGCTTTTTGTGGCTGGAGGTTTCCAAAAAGTCATGGGGGTAACATGGGGTAACCCATGTAAAATCATCCATTGATAGATAATTTTTTACCATTATAAACCATGCATTTTGGGGTACTATAATATATATATAGAAAGTACAGCAAGGCCCGAAAAGATAGAAAAGTCATGTGTCACTCACCGGGATTTTACATGTCTAATTTTGGAGGTTATTAGTACTATATTATGTATTGATATGTATAGAACATATCGTCCAGGCGATAAAACAACAGGCACTCACACTGCTGGCGGTGAGCTGAGAAAACCCATGAAGAACTTGTGGAGAAGTGGCTTCAAACATCAGAAATAGGGTTTTGGGGGTACATACTATATTTCTGGACACAAAAACATTAAACAAGTAGATTCAACCATTTCCTCCACCAAGTTGTTCCAAGTTCCAACTTGTAGTTTTGGAACAGTTCCGATCCAAAACGGAAGAGTTCTTCCAAAAGATTCGAAACACATATATTATTATATGATGGTTTGAATTCCCGACGTGCTCTGTTCACTCCATCACACACGCACAAAAAAACTGCTGCTCAATTTTTGAGTATCAAAACATATCAAAACGCAGTATCCCATACTGCCCTCAATGTTTCCAGCACTTGTTCCATCCAGCAGCTGTGTGCGGCGTCATCACCCGAGATTGCTCGGAAAGGCGCACCAGTTCAAACTCGATGTCCTCCCGCTGAGTAAAGCAAAAAGACAGACTGGAGTTCGTTGGAAAATCACAATTTTTAATGGGAAAATCCACTATAAATGGTTATTTTCAATAGCTATGTCAAATTACCAGAGGGTAGCTGTTGAAAGACGAAAACACAAAGTGTCCAATCAAGTGGTCCCATCCATTCTTGGCCATTGTTTGAACCCTACCATTCAAAATCTTTCCTGGTTGGTTCTACTGCAGCCATTAGTTCAAACAAAGAACGTGGGTCCAAAACAACCATTATAGTTCATCATATATAAAAAGTGAAACGATCCCAGCTGTATCCAAAAAATGAAGGATACTCTAAAAAATAACTTTATATATAGCCTATCTGAGGCTTCTTTTTTGGGGTCCATTTGGGGTCCACATCTCCTGAAAAACACCTGACCAAAACTCTCCTTCGCCGCCGCGGAATTGGCCAGTTGCCGTTGAGCTTCCAGCAACTCTAAGCGCGCACGTGACGCCTTGGACGGTTGTGGCTAGAATCATGCCATGAAACTGATGGGAAAGCCAGCTGTTGACCCTGAATTTCTCAGGGTTTTTGTAAAACAAAAAAAAGTAAAATGGACATATATGGACATATGGTATACTTGAATCAAATTTGTGGTTTTCTTTTGATGCATTTACTACTTGAGCCACTTGAGAAGCCATGGCTGGCAAACGCACAGAAACGAAAGGTTGGGCATTCACCATCCAAGTCGTGGCGAACGGAGAAGTAAAACTGTTCCACCACCACTGAGTCATAAGGCTGGATACCAGATACCAATTGAAATCAGAGACCATTGGTAAATTGGATATCACTGTCATAATTATTGGATACCACTGTCATAATTGGATACTAATTGAACAATCCTCAAAAAATGAGTGGGTGTGGCCTACCCCAAAAAACATCGCTGAAGCGCGAAAGAAGCACCTCGCGCGAAAGAAGAGAACTGAATGCAGCGCCTGCAGCTTGAACGGTTGTTGCAGTCATTCTCCCAGATGCCAGTTGAAGTTCAGGGGCTGCGAGCGTCAAACCTGTCAATAGGCGAAATCTGCACTGCTCGTACTCATATCCTGTGGAAGTTAGACCAATCCTAATGTAAGATCATGCAAGTGATGAAACGATTTGTATGTTTGATTTCATTCTAAAGTTTTATCAGGCCTCTGTCAGTGGTTGTAACTTCATTTTCAAGGACTATTTCACTATTTCAAATCAGACTTCGGGTTCTGTTCTCAGGATCGGTACTGGTTGCGTCGTAACCCAGCCATTGATCCATGATGTTCACCGAACAAGTACATAGAGCTTATCCATTGTCAGCCTGCACTAGTGCACAAATGGTCTACATATATTTCTTGGGGAGTGCCTTGGCCTCTTTGTCTGTGGAGGCCAGAAACTATTTCTTAAATAAACCCAATTTACAGAAACTATTTCCTAAATCAACCCTAAGTTGGGAAACTAATTGAAACTATTTCTTAAATAAACCCAATTTACAGAAACTATTTCTTAAATCAACCCAATTTGCAGAAACTATTTCCTAAATAAATGGAAGTTTTGGAAACTTTTGGAAATTACCTCAAAAAATGCATTAATAAAAAAAACTAAAAAAGTAATTCAAGTTACGCCTTCTAGGGATTGGTTTGAAACGGTTTGAAACGGTTTCGGACTATTACCTAGCAAGTAGCGGGAAACGGTTTGAAACGGTTTCGGACTATTTGCTAATTAGCCATTCTCAGAAACTATTTGAAGCTATTTGAAACTATTTGAAACTATTTGCAGTTTTTGCCAGGGTGAATTAGCAAATAGTAGGAAACGGTTTCGGACGGTTTCGGACTATTACCTAACAAGTAGCGGGAAACGGTTTGAAACGGTTTCTGTGATACCCTTACTCTGCCTTAAATCATCAAACAAGACAATATACCAATAAAGATAAATAAAACCTAAGTTGACAAATATAGACACATATAGACACATTAGATATATATATATATATATGACATATTGAAACTCCTTACAGATTGAAAAGTAAGAAAGAAACAGTGACTGATTCTGAGATGAGGAGTCAAAGAACATAGAACGAAACAGAATGAAGGGTGCCTGCGTGGCAGCCTCTCTCTCTCGGTGAGAACATGGCTCACTTGTCTGGGGCAATCTCTGGACTTTAAGTGATTGACTTCTATCCTTGTCCAATGGTTGGGATTGGTAAAAGCAATCCTGATTTTGTAAATGGTTTCTGGGTTTGGGGCCCGGATTAAGAAATAGTTTCTAGGATTTAAGAAATATTTAAGAAATAGTTTCCAGGATTTAAGAAATAGTTTCCTTTCATATTTACCTCTTAGGAAGGTTAAGCTGGTAGCCTCCCGACGAAACCGGACCCCCCGGGCTCCCGCGACAGACCTTGACAAATAGAGAAAAGTTCAGGCACACACCAGTCCGGACTTTTGGGGGAAACCCCTGACTTGGGTATCCTCTGAGGTGTCTAAAATGCCATGTGGCAAAGGCCTGCTAACACCATCCCCCAACTCACCCGCAAAGGCTATCAGCCACATGGTTTTGTTTGGGGAGCAATTTTTTTTCATCCCACAACTTGTGGGTATCGCGTGTGGAATTATTCGCGGCGTTGTATGGTGCATTTGGCGAAAACTGCGCTGGGACAGGGTATGTGTTTATGTTGCTGTTTGACAAACCCTTTCCTGGATTGAAACAGCATTGCAACTGGTATGGCGCGATAGTACTCCCAATTGGAGTCTAGATGGTTTCAAGTTTCAAGCGTCAACAGTTTCAGTTTGGTGAGCCATGGGTGAAGGAGGCTCTAGTACTATTAAACGGGCATGTGCGGTAAAGACATTAGTTCTTTCTCACCACAAACTACCATTGGCAAATGCGTGTTCCAAGATTGACCAGGTTTGCCCTGACAACATGGTCAATATCAACTTTTACTTGCAAATATTACCCCTTTGATTCAAGTAATGGTTTCTGGGAAATCAACATGATTTAGCAAATGGTTTCTACATGTTCTACTTTACGGGAAAAAGAGTTTCTACATATCCTACTTATTTAGCAGATGGTGTCTAGTATTTAGCAAATGGTTTCTAGTTTTTTGCACATGGTTTCCAGAATTTGGCAAATAGTTTCTAGTATTTAGCAAATGGTTTCTAGTATTTAGCAAATGGTTTCCAGTATTTAGCAAATAGTTTCCAGTATTTAGCAAATAGTTTCTAGTATTTAGCAAATAGTTTCTAGTATTTAGCAAATGGTTTCCACCTGTGCAAGAAATAGTTTCTGGATTTTACAGAAATGGCAAATAAAGAAGCCAACGCACTCCATAATATATTTCTATATATTTCTTGTCCATTCTTTTCCTGACAAATTAACCCATATCAAGCCATATGCCATATATTACCCATATTAGGCAGATATTTCATATGGCCATGAAAAGTATGTATCCTGCAACTCTCTACACCAAGGTGGCACCCATATGGCCTTCTCCTCCACTGAAAACCACCAGCTCATCCCCGTCCTTGGCCATGGGAAAGCCATGGGAAAACCGATGAAAAAAGAAATGCCTCGAAATCAGCGATATCATTCATATATGTATAATAATAACAATAACAATAACAAATAAAATTAAATGATAAAAATTGACACTAATAAAGATAATAAAAATAATAATCATAAATACTAGCAATAAAAAAAATCATGATAATAAGAATAACAAAACAATAACAGCATTAATTATAATAATAACTAAGATAATAATAAAGAATAACAATAAAATAATAAATCACTACAATCAATTATAACAATAACTTAACACATAATAATAAATAATAACTAATAATACTAGTACCATATTATATATTGTACCTAATATCCCGAACTTTTTGTGATATTTCCCAGGTTTTCCAAGGCAGTCGCTGGAATTTCTTCAAGCACACCAAAAGCTATAGGAAAACAGTCAGCATCCTTGCCACATCTGGCAGAATCCATATGCCTGCCAATTTTGCCAATCCATATCTTGCCACCCAGCTTCATGCAAATCGAAGGCCGCCTGGGGCCATATCCAGGCATTACCTCCCCCTGGCACCAACTCCCCGCGCTGACCCATTGGTTTCGTCAAGTCCAACCAAGCTTGGGCAGCCACTGAGCTGAGATCCTTGGAGGTTAAGGGGATGTTCACAATACCTCGGCCGAATCCCCGGCACCGGGATTTCGATGGAAACAGCACAATACATCACAATACATTACCGATATAGGATCCGGCTGGTGCTGGTAGATTAATGCTAACATTCATAGGGTATATTTCTTGATGGGATCCAGGATGATCCATGGCAGACCATATGGCAGCACCATGGATCCGTCATGGGTTATAATTATGATGCCCTGATGAAGAGATTGATGGCATTTCAGAATTTCACTGAGGGAGACTTTGAGGATCTCTAGGGTATGCGGCCTGCTTTTCCAAATTTCGTAGCGCGCCTGAATTGAAGTTACCAAGCTGTCTGGTAGCAAGCGTTTCCAAATCAGTGGATGAATCATCTCAATATGGAGTGAAAACCACAATGAGTTACCACAGGCGTGTCATCCAACTCATCCAAACTTAAACAAAATCCCCTTCACACCCGGCGTGACACCCGGTTTTAACATGTTTTACCCTCTGGGAAATTAACATAGGCCCTGGCAGATAGGGTTGGAAGACTAGTTTCCATTAAAACTAGGCTATTTTCAGTGTCTATGTTAATTTACCGGAGGGTAACATGTTTTAACATGGTTTTAACATGTTTTAACATGTTTTAACAACAGTGTCACCACGTTTTAACCGTCCATCCCGGTGCCACCACGGCACGCCCAGCTCCCGCGGACGCGATGGCCGATCCCAATGGGCTGTCGAATTTGCTGCCGATCACCGCCACTTCCACGACGCGCCCAAGGCCGGGCGTCCTACAGGTGCAGTTTGAACTCCAACATCTCCAACTGTTGGGCCAATGATGGTTTAATGGCAAAATACGTTGATATGTTGTTGATATGTTGTTGATATGTTTTTTTTGTGAATGGACAGTATCAACAAAGAGGGGGGGATAATCGGATAAACCAACAAAGATAAGGTCCCCAGCATGTGGATGGTTGTGAAAAAGAGATATGACCTCTCTGTTTCGTCAAGCCGATGAGTGGATCATGGACGAAGAAAAAGATTGGGGACAATTTTCAGAAAAAATGGGAGATTTGGCACATGGGGCACATGGGGACATAAAATGACATCAGCGGTTTCTCTGATGAAGCTCTCTGGGTCCAGATTCTGAGTTTGATGAGCACTTTAAGCCTTAAGCTGGCATGCCCCACTCGAATTTACCAGAAGATCTTTCGCCCCTGGATGAGTTCATGAATCATTTTGAAACATTACAGATTCTAAAACCTTGCACACTTTTATGGTTCCAGATCCACCCAAAACCCATAGGATCCATGGTGCTGGTATATATGCTAACATTTGGGGGGTATATTGATGGGATCCATGTTACCATATATAGCAGCACCATGGATCCTATGGGTATTCAAACATACCATGATTTGCGCCGGAAGATCTACCACCGAGCCACAGCAGTTGCTGCAGGCGCTTTTCTGCCCTTTCATTGGCAGTTGCGATGCAATCGCTCAGGATCAGAACGCCCAACTCCTCTGGGATCGGCGAATCGGCAACGGTCAATGGATAGAAATCTATACGATCTGGTAAATCACCAGATTTTTAATGGGTAAACATGGGTAAACTATGGACTGACAGATCACAATTTTGAATGGGTGAGTCAACGAACTATCCATGGCCATGTTCAATGGCTATGGGTTTACCAGACCGGGTAAAAGTCAATGGATTGATGATCAATTGATTGATCTGTAGGGAAAACATGTCCCAGGGAAACCAATGGTTGAAACCTCTCCCACAAACCAATAGTTGTAAGGTTGTTACTGTAAATGTGTATAAATTTGCCCCGTAAACCGAGTTGGGGGATAGACGGCCATCTGGTTGGAATACTATGCCAAGCTCGCCCGCAATATTAAACACTCCCTGTAAATCATGGTTTAATAGGGGATACGGATACCACAGAATGGGGGTGTTTTAAATTGTGGGGATGGGATTTATTGTGGATTATCACGTCATTTCAAAAAACCACAACTTGAGCTGTAATTCCACAACTATTGCATACACTGGGTTTATATACAGCTGAACCATGCTGCAGCCCACCCCTGTCCTGGCCAGCGGCTGGCACCCGAGTCTCCACATCCCGCAGCAGCTTCTCGAAATCCGAGGCACCCAGCGGCAAGCGCTGCCGCAACTGCGCGCTGACGCTGGAAGCCAGGAGCGAAAACCTGGGAGAATGAAACACTGAAACGAGTCAAGTGCCTTGGGAACTTGTTGGAATTAGCAGCTTAGCAAATTTCATCAAGATTAAATGTACATAGATTGATTTTATGAAAAGTTGATCCCCGTTTTTGGGTGTAAATGGGTGTGAAGGAACTTGAGATTATATATATTTACACGCCCATTCTTCTGCAAACCAGCACGGCAAACGACGGAAAGCATTCAAATATATCAAAGCAGACTACCACGGTTCAGCTGATAATAATACATGTAGGTGCAAAAAATATTCAAATATACGGTCAGACAAATCCCGATACCAACATCATGAATCTTATACAAAACTTTTCAGTGAGTTTCTCAAACTAGAGAAGGGATCCAGGTCCGAAAGACACCAACAAAACATGACCATACATTACCCAAATATCAGCGTTAAGCCAGTGAAGCAGTGCCACAACACTTAAAGAAGAGATGGAGCATGCCGAGCATGCCCTATAATTACATCCCTCTATATAGACGTAACTTGCACTTTGGCCTGCCGGCTGCCAGAAGATGCGGAAGCATTCGCATAAAATCTTCAACCATTCAGTCAAATAGAAAACAGCGCAGGAAAAATTACGCTTTCGCTGGAAAATGCACAATCGTTTTGGCTTTTTTCCCCACCTGCCAGGTGAGGGTTGTTAGATTTTATCAGAATTGTTCTTCTCCTCCTTCCTCCTCCTTCCTCCTCCCTCTCCTCCTCCGCGACCTCCTCCTCTTCTACCACCTCTGCCTCCACTTCCACGTCCACTGTTGCCTTGCCAACTCTTGGCCAAGATCCTCGCCAACTTCGGAGCTCAGTGCGCACTGCTGGACCTCAACCTGGGACCTTCCCAGCTCAGTGCGCACCGCTGGACCTCAACCTGGGACCTTCCTAGCTCAGTGCGCACCGCTGGACCTCAACCTGGGACCTGCCGAGCTCAGTGCGCACCGCTGGACCTCAAGCTGGACATCAATCTGGGGCCTTCCGAGCTCAGTGCGCACCGCTGGACCTCAACCTGGGACCCTCCGAGCTCAGCGAGCACCGCTGGACCTCAACGGCCAGATAGAATGCCAGAAGATATGCCAGATAGAACGCCAGATAGAATGTCAGAAAGAATGCCAAAAGATATGCCAAATAAAGTGCCAGAATGTTTGCCAGATAAAATACCAGAAGATATGCCAGATAGAATGCCAGAAGGTATGCCAGATAGAATGTCAGATAGAATGCAAGAAGATATGCCAGATAAAGTGCCAGAATGTTTGCCAGATAGAACGCCAGAAGATTTGCCAGATACAATGCCAGATAGAATGTCAGAAGATATGCCAGAAGATATGCCAGATAGAGTGCCAGAAGGTATGCCAGAAGATACGCCAGGTAGAATGCCAGAAGATATGCCAGATAGAATGCCAGAAGATATGCCAGATAAAATACCAGAAGATATGCCAGATAGAATGCCAGAAGGTATGCCAGATAGAACGTCAGATAGAATGCCAGAAGGTATGCCAGATAAAGTGCCAGAATGTTTGCCAGAACATATGCCAGAAGATTTGCCAGGTAGAATGCCAGATAGAATGTCAGAAGATATGCCAGAAGATATGCCAGATAGAGTGCCATAAGATATGCCAGAACATATTGCAGAAGATATGCCAGGTAGAATGACAGAGATATGCCAGATAGAATGCCAGAAGATATGCCAGATAAAATGCCAGAAGATATGTCAAATAGAATGCCAGAAGATTTGCCAGTAACAAAACGTATAGATGTCATGGCGGGGATAACTCGAAGTAAAGTAATTTAAAGTTTTTTTTGGGTGAGATTTGCACTTGTTTACTTTATCACGCACGACGCAAGCCGCCTTTTCCTTGTCTAGGTCATGCCGGCCAGGACAGGAAAAGCTGTGGCGCTGGAGATGTCATGGGCCACAAGTGTGCAGGATTGTTTGATATTGTGTATTGATGTGTATTGTGTGTTGTGCGCGCAGATGCAACACACCATTGAAATATCGACCCATATTATGAGAGCTCACAACATGCCATGCCACCACCACCGCCAAGACACCCACCAGCAAGAGACCACCCATACACCACCAAAAGTACCATTCAAATGCCACCGCAACATCAGAAAAATAGCTCGCAAGCACAACATTACACACGCATGCCCAAACGCCGCCAAAACGCACCTGCGCAATAGAGACTGATACACTGCAGGGTTTGCACCAACACATCAACGGCACTCCACCAAGACATCCTCAAATCATACACTGACACACCACCGCCCTCAACCAAGACACAACAAGAAACCCACAAGCATGACAAACGTGACAGACCACAAAGGCAGTGCACAGACATGTCGGCTCTACATCGGCACCGCGTGGGCTCAAGGGGACGCAGCAACAACCCAACATGGCGTGAATATTGCTCAGCGTGAGCCTCAGGTAAGGCCAGCGTGGCCTAAGTGCAGCATGCCCCAAGAGAGCATCAGAAACGCCTTGCATGGACCAAAACTCAACGACACTGAAATGCCCAAGTCCAAGATAAAGGCCAACGCATAGCCCAAAATGCCTCAACATGAGCTGCCAAGGCAGAAAAACTCAAAGAAGAGATGGAGCATGCCGAGCATGCCCTATAATTACATCCCTCTATATAGACGTAACTTGCACTTTGGCCTGCCGGCTGCCAGAAGATGCGGAAGCATTCGCATAAAATCTTCAACCATTCAGTCAAATAGAAAACGCGCAGGAAAAATCACGCTTTCCCTGGAAAATGCACAATCGTTTTGGCTGTGACTCCCGTTTTTTTGGGTGGGATTTTTGCACTTGTTTACTTCATCACACGCGACGGAAGCCGCCTTTTCCTTGTCTAGGTCATGCCGGCCAGGACAGGAAAAGCTGTGGCGCTGGAGATGTCATGGGCCACAAGTGTGCAGGATTGTTTGATATTGTGTATTGATGTGTATTGTGTGTTGTGCGCGCAGATGCAACACATCATTGAAATATCAACCCATATTATGAGAGCTCACAACATGCCATGCCACCACCACCATGACACACATCAGCAAGAGACCACCCATACACCACCAAAAGTACCATTCAAATGCCACCGCAACACCAGAAAAATACCTCGCAAACTGCGTCGCAAACATTGTTTAACATAGCATCAAAAACATCAGCAACACAGCCAAAACATGTTGTTTTTCTTTGTTGTGTTTACTGTATTTTTTACATACGCCTTGCATGGACCCAAAACTCAACGACACCGAAACCAGATAAAGGCCAACACATAGCCCACAGTGCCTCAACATGAGCCCAATATTAGCCCAAAATGGCTCAAGATAAGCCCAATATCAAATATGGTCCCAACGTTTCCCCACATGAGTCAACATCTGCCCAACGTGGGCCAACATGGCTCCATATTAATGCAACATGCGTCCACATAGGCTCAACACAACATCGGCCCAATAGAGCTAAGAACATGACCCAACACGGTCCCAACATAGACCAAGGTGGCTCCACATTGGCCCAACATGGGCTGAAAAGGACGCAACAACAACCCAACATGGCTCGATTTTTTCTCAACATGAGCTTGAGATAAAGCCAGCATCAAAAACATCAGCAACGCAACCCAAAAATTGCGTTTTGCTTGGTATTTACGATGTTTTTTTTTGAAAACGACTTGAACAGACCAAAACTCAACAACACTCAAATGCCCAAGTCCAAAATAAAAGACAACAAGACCAAAACTCAACAACACTGAAATGCCCAAGTTCAAAAAAAGGCCAACAAATACCTGAAAATAACCCAAAATGGTTCAACATGGTTCAACATGAGCCCAGTATGGTGCCACCAAAACAACAACGAACAAAGAAACGAACACACAAACACACAAATTAAAGGACCGGATAAGCCCACAAGCCAACTTCTTCCAATAATGAGCAACAAATGTTGTAGCGGGACGGGGAAGGAAGGAAAGACAAAGGAGGTGGTGGAGGATCGAGAAGTAAAATCAAGTTGTGTGTGACAAAGTTGTATGTGAAAGATGGTGTGTGACAAAGAAAGATGGTGTGTGTGTGACAAACTTGTGTGTGAAAGATGGTGTGTGTGAAAGTTGTGTGTGAAAGAGAGCGTGTGACAAAGCTGTGTGTGAAAGATGGTGTGTGACAAAGTGGTGTGTGAAAGATGGTGTAGCGAAAGATGGTGTGTGACAAAGTTGTGTGTGAAAGATGGTGTGTGACAAAGTGGCGTGTGAAAGATGGTGTGTGAAAGATGGTCTGTGATGGTGTGTGAAAGATGGTGTGTGACAAAGTGGTGTTGTGTGAAAGATGATGTGTCAAAGATGGTGTCAAAGATGGTGTGTGAAAGATGGTGTGTGACAAAGTGGTGTGTGAAAGATGGTGTAGCGAAAGATGGTGTGTGACAAAGTTGTGTGTGAAAGATGGTGTGTGACAAAGTGGCGTGTGAAAGATGGTCTGTGATGGTGTGTGGAAGATGGTGTGTGACAAAGATGGGTGTGAAGGATGGTGTGATGAAAGATGGTGTGTGACAAAGTGGTGTGTGAAAGATGGTGTGTCAAAGTCAAAGATGGTGTGTGACGAAGTGCCACACTGCCAGCCCAGTGCCACAAGTGCCACGCCTGCCACGCACATGGAAGGTCAATGTCACGAAGTGCCACGCCTGCCACGCAAAACGAAGGTGGATGTCACGAAGTGCCACGCCTGCCACTCCAAGTGGCGCGGCGCCCCGGGCGACCCAGCGCGCCCAAGCGCGCCGCCAGAGCCAGCCCAGTGCCCCAAGAGGCGTGGCACGCAAATCAAGATGGATGTCACCAAGTGCCACGCCTGCGACGTAAAGTACCGCGGCGTCACTGGCGACCAAGTGCGCCCAAGCGCGCCCAAGCGCACCACCAGAGCCAGCCCAGTGCCATAAGTGCCACGCCTGCCACGCAAAACGAAGGTGGATGTCACCAAGTGCCACGCATGCCACGCGAAGCGAAGGTGATGTCACCAAGTGCCACACCTGCCACGCAAAGTACCGTGGCGTCACCGGCGACCAAGCGCACCCAAGCGCGCCCAAGCGCGCCACCAGAGCCAGCCCAGTGCCATAAGTGCCACGCCTGCCACGAAGGTGGATGTCACCAAGTGCCACGCCTGCGACGCGAAGCGAAGGTCGATGTCACCAAGTCCCACGCCTGCCACGCAAAGTACCGCTGTCGGCTGTCGCCAAGTGCTACGCCTGCCACGCAAAGATGGTGTCCCAACATGGGAGAAGATGGGGCCGACACAACCCAACGTGGAGCCGTACATTCATTCTGCAATGTGTCCCAAAAGCGCCCAACATCGGGCCAAAACGAGGCGGACGGAGGCAAACTGTGCCACATGCTCCGCAAACCAGTTCGGCAAAATATGGTCCTAATGTTGTCGAAAATTGGATTTGCATACGCTCCATGCCCTCAGGGCAAAGCTGCATCAACTCCCTGCGCTGTTCCAGCACTTTCCGTCATCAAAAATTGGGTTTGCACACGCTCCATGCCCCCCCATGAGCTTGAGATCAGGCAAGCATAACCTAAGTGCAGCATGCACAAAAGACAGAAACACAAACAACCAAAAAATCACAGCAAAAACCATCAGCAACGCACCCCAAAAATTATTGCTTTCTTGGTATTTATGTTATGTTTTACGAACGTGTTGCATGGACGAAAATTCAACGACACTGAAATGTGTGAAGATAAACCATGATAAACCCAATATGGTCCCAACCCTTGCCCAACAAAGGCCAACACAAACCACAAAATCCATCAAAATGGCTCAACATGAGCCCAATATGGTGCCGACATAGCCCACAATGGCCCAACACAAGCCCGAGATCAGGCAAGCATAGCCGCGTTGGATGGACGAAAATTCAACCACACTGAAATGCCCAAATCCAAAACAAAGGCCGACACAGATCACAAAATAGCCCAAGATGGCTCAACATGAGCCCAATATGGTGTTTCTTCCTTGGTCGAAGGAAGTTTAGAAGTCAAACTTCCGACAATATGGACAGATGAAAAGCAGAGCAGGGAAGAGGCAGGGAGAAGAGAAAGATTAGAAGAAAGAAGAGTAAGAAGAAAGAAGATGCAGATGCGTGAAAAGGTAGGAAAGTCGCGAAACACTGTGTTTTTCCAATGGTTTGGGGCTCCGGAGGGTCGAAAAGTAGGCTCGCTAAAGTGGCGGGTGCGGAGCCAGCTGGCCAGATCAGAGATAAAAAATTGCACGCCGTTGTGGCGCGAAGCAAATTTCCAAATCAAAATGTACAAAGCACACCATTGTCGGACCACTTTTGGCAGTTGAGATGTAGGAAAAGTGCACGCCGTTGTGGCGCGAAGCACATTTCGATGTCAAAATGTACAAAACACACAATTCTCGGACCACTTTTGGAAGTTGAGATGTCGAAAAAGTGCACGCCGTTGTGGCGCGAAGCACATTTCGAAGTCAAAATGTTAAAAACACTAGGGGTTCGGACCACTTTTGGCGGTTCAGATGTCGCTTCGCTTCCCTTCGCTTCCCTTCGCTTCCCTTCGCTTCCCTTCGCTTCATTAGATTATTACACTACATTACACTACACTACACTACATTACACTACACTACCTTCCACTACACTTCACTTCACTACACTACACTACACTCCACTACACTACAACTACAACTACACAACTACACGCCACTACACTCCACTACACTAAATTACACTACACTAAATTACATTACACTACACTACACTACACTACATTACACTACACGACACTACATTCCACTACACTCCACTACACCACACTACATTACACTACACTACCTTCCACTACACTTCACTACAGTCCACTACACTACACTCCACTACAACTACACAACTACACTCCACTACACTCCACTACACTCCACTACACTAAATTACACTACACTACACTACATTACACTACACTACATTACATTACACCACACTACACTACACTACCTTCCACTACAGTTCACTACATTACACTACACTACACTCCACTACACTACAAGTACAACTACGACTACACAACTACACTCCACTACACTAAATTACACTACACTACACTACGAAACACTACACTCCACTACACTACTCTACACTCCACCACACTAAATTACACTACACTTCACTACATTACACTACACTACACTTCACTTCACTACACTACACTACACTCCACTACACTACAACTACACAACTACACGCCACTACACTCCACTACACTAAATTACACTACACTAAATTACACTACACTACACTACATTACACTGCACTACATTCCACTACACTCCACTACACCACACTACATTCCACTACATTACACTACACTACATTACACTCAATGACACTGCACCACAGATAGACAGGTAGACAGATAGATAGATAGATAGACAGACAGGTAGACAGCTAGACAGATAGACAGATGAAGAGAGAGAGAGAAAGAGAGAGAGAGAGAGAGAGACAGAGAGAGAGAGAGAGATAGATAGATAGATAGACAGATAGATAAATACATACATAGATAGGTAGGTAGGTAGGTAGATAGTCAGAGAAAGAGAGCGAAAGAGAGGAGACCTCAACCACCTTTCACTCCATCAGTGGCTTCGCTCTGCCATCCCTGATTCACAACAAACATCCTCTCCTATAGGTTTCCTATTTTTGAAACTTCCGCCACCGCCTTGTGCGGTACTACTGGTATTTATGGTCTTTTTTGCAAACGCGTTGCATGGACGAAAATTCAACGACACTGAAATGCCCAAGTCCAAAACAAAGGCCGACACAGATCCGAAAAAAGCGCAAAATGGCCCAACATGAGCCCAATATGGTGCCAACATGGCCCAAAATGTCCGAAAATGGCCCAAGATAAGCCTAATATGGTCCCAACTCTTGCCAAAAACATGGCTCCAACATTAGCCAAATATGGTGCCAACGTGGCCCAAAATGTCCCAACATGGCTCAAAATATGGTCCCACAAACCACAAAATACCACTAAAATGGCTCAACATGAGCCCAATACGGTGCCAACGTTGCCCAAAATGTCCCAACATAGCCCAAAATGGCCCAAGATAAGCCCAATATGGTCCCAACTCTTGCCCAACAAAGGCCAACAGAAACCACAAAATACCACCAAAATGGCTCAACATAGCCCAATACGGTGCCAACGTTGCCTAAAATGTCCCAACATAGCCGAAAATGGCCCAAGATAAGCCTAATATGGTCCCAACTCTTGCCCAACAAAGGCCAACACAAACCACAAAATACCGCTAAAATGGCTCAACAAAGGCAAAGGCAAACCACAGAATACAACAAAATGGCCCAACATGAGCCCGAGATCAGGCAAACATACCCTAACTGCAGCATGCCCCAAGAAAGAAACAAAAACAAAAAAATAGCAGCAAAAACCATCAGCAACGCAGTTCACAAATTGCATTTTTTCCTGGTATTTTGGGTGTTTTTTGCAAACGCCTTGCATGGACGAAATTTCAACGACATTGAAATGCCCAAGTCCAAGACAAAGGCCGACACATATCCGAAAATAACCCAAAATGGCCCAACATGAGCCCAATATGGTGCCAACATGGCACAAAATGTCCCCAACATAACCCAAAATGGCCCAAGATAAGCCCAATATAGTCCCAACTCTTGCCCAACAAAGGCCAACACAAACCACAAAATACCCCTAAAATGGCTGAACATGAGCCCAATATGGTGCCAACGCTGGCCCAACATCCCAGAAGCGCGCAACATGGGCAAAAATGAGGCCGACGGAGCCAAAACTGCACCCTCCTGTTCTGCAAATCAAAAATTGGGTTTGCACACGCTCCATGTCCCCCCCCCACACCCCCCCCTAGGGCAAAGCTACATCAACTCCTTGCGCTGTTCCAGCGTTTTCCGTCATCTAGCGAGCGCAATTAAAATCATCAATCTCTTCAATCTCTTCCTTACTTCTCTGGTTGGTGGTTTCAACCCCTCTGAAAAATATTTTTGTCAATTGGGATGATTATTCCCATATATTATGGAAAGTCATAAAAGTCATGTTCCAAACCACCAACCAGTTTTAAGTAGTCTTATGTCTTCCATTTCGAAGAAATCCTTGAGCAAGGAACTCTTCAGCACTGGCGCCAGAAATTTCCATCACTTCGGTCACTTCGATGTCGAAGGCCAAAACCTTCACGCCATGGGTGCTCAAAGGCACCTGCTGCAGTAAGGCTTCGATGACGGGAATTCTGACCTTAGATTTCCAGGTCAAAAACTGTCGACTGAAATGTCATAGAATATGAAATCCAAGTGGGATAATCCTATATTCAAAACAGTGATTTCACACCAATTGTATTTGTTTTGTCACTTCAGAACTTTAGCTGAGAGGGTGTTATTAGTATTGAAGCCCTCCGCCTGCATGGCGAATCTATATCTGCGTGAGCTGCTATGAATTATTGAGTTCAAACCTAATTACTTGAAGACTCTTGAAGAACTATGAAACATTGCCAACTCCAAGAACAATGAGAACAAATAATGATATATAGTGATAAGAAGAGATCATCAAACGTCTGACTGAACTACCGGAGAGCCGCCAAAAATGAATCCGCTGTAGATGCGGAGGTATCAATATAAATGATCCAGGTTTCAGGTGAGAACGCCTGACTCGAGCTAGAGTTGCTGTCAAGAACGAAACTGGAGACCAGTTGCCCTCCATCCACAGAGAACGTGCGCGTGAAAGCCATTGGTTCCCAAACATCCAGTTGAATGTCGCTGCTGGGAACCAGATGTGTCTCTGAGGTGGAAAAACCCAATGCACCATTCCTGGCAAGCGAATGTCTGTTAATGTAGGGCATAGAATATTATATGCATATCATTATGTTACATATCATTATATAATATATACACATATCATATATATCATATATATATATATAATATACATGTCTGATGTCTGAGGATGTCGAAGCAAAGCATCAAGTCAGACTGCAGGACCCGCTCGGCTCCTGAACTAAGACAGGAAATCAGCAGCATCCGAGATGCCGAAACCATTTCCCGATGATTCTAGGAGCCAAACATCTCGGGTAGGGCCTTCGGATAGCCTTCGGTTTTTCTATACCTTTTGAATGTAGCTATAAGTGATGCAAAATGTGCTTTTTTTCGGGTAGCTCCCCAGAGATATCCCATGTTTTTCTCCAAGCTTCTCCCACATGAGCCCAGGCATGTTAGTGCCATCCGTTGGCAGAGAGCAGTTGGCGCTAAAGCCGCCGCTTAAACTTTGGACGCTCGCAGAGAAGGTAAAGTTGTGGATCTCCTCAGTTTCTGCCAGTTGGAGCTACGTTGGAATCATGAAACGAGATGAGAATGGAAGAATCCATTTGAGGATCACCGGGTAGTCACGTTGGGAACTGAACCTAAACCAAACACCTAAAATAATCTAAATATTGACAATCAAAAATTAGAAGTGGACTTCTGAACAGAGTATGAGGGAATCTCTCCGTGCTGGTCGCAGGTTTTTGAGGTGAAAACGACCAACGATCGAGCTCCTTTTGCAATTGATGAGGTCGGTGAACAGGATTTCCGTGTTTTTCCCAAAATGCGGGACCCCAAAATGATCCACAGATAGGCAATGGAGAGGAGAGGAAAGCCATGGTGGTTTTGGGGGTTTTGGAGTCCTCAGAAATTCAAGAAACTCCCACATTGTGAGTATCAAATTGTTTGGCTAAGTCCTAGTCAATCAATCTCGCATTGATCTGGACTTTCTGAGTGCATGTTGGCCAACCGTGGATTGATATGGATTGTCTACTTGTCACCCAGATCTCATGGCCAATCTTTGGTACCCTGCAAAAAACGAAATACTTAGCTGGTGAGTAGATCATCCATGATCATCCCACTGATACCAAAAGACTATTTTGGATTAGTTTCTACCCTCTGGTAAACTAACATAGCTATTGAAAATTGCCATTTATAGTGGATTTACCCATTAGAAATTGTGATTTTCCATAGCTATGTTAGTTTACCAGAGGGTACCCATCTAAGATTGACCTACTCAACCTTTGGTCATGCTATGTCGCTGACAAGTTTCAGGAAGCCCAGCCAGGGGGATCAGCAGCCTTCGATGCAGCTCGCGCATTGGAAGCGTGATGGCATAGGACAAGATGAGTCTCACCACTGCCTGAGATCGTGGGCATCAGGATCTTCATGGGATGTGCTGAAGTTCATTGCTGAGCCATCGATGCCGACTGAAAAAAACCCGAACGCTAAACGTGTGAAAACTCAACGATAAACCCCAACAGGGAATCTTTGAAACAGGAGACCACAATTGTGCGCAGAGAGAGTCTGCCAATCTAAAGATTGACAACAATTCGTCATATCTTATTGGGACTACCCAATATAGTTTTTATTTGGCTTGTAACGATAGCCAATCCAAAAACACTGGCAAACAACAATAACAAATCTACTCAGAAATCCTGCAGCCGCATGATTGTGAGTCACTTCACTATCTTCACTCTGGTTGTCCAGTAGACATCTCAGAATGAACAGAATAGATTATGGCAGATTCACCGCAGTTTCACTGGCAGATGCATTAAACATATGAAACATCATGAACATGATCATTGAAAGTAGGATCCAGTGACAATTTCACCAACTACTAGCATCAAGAATTATCATCCCAACGAGAACGACGCTCTGCCCTGCAAGTGGCGTGCGGCTCAATAGGAAAGACCCGTGCCGTAAAGAGGTTCCCGGCGCTCTGCTCCAACAACGCGGGATCGCGTGCCTCATGCAGAATCTCGCCTCGATGGTTCATCAGAAAAGCACCAGGTGTTCATCAGAAAATCATTCGTCAATGGATACACATAACCTTCTGTTTGTTCCAGTGCTGGATGAAATTACAAAAGGATAAAATCGGCATACAATGGGAGATCAACAACACATATGGTGAATCCAACAACCACAAGTTTTTTCAAGCAGCACATTAATCACACAACTCCATCTTAATCAACAATGTTGGGTGAAGACAAATGGCTGTGAGCTAGAGGTAGAACACAAATATGGATGTAAGCGAAAAAACAGCAATCAAATGGATGCTACACCCAGGCAAAGGATAGAAAAAAAAAACGATGCAGCTAAAAATAATGGGGATACTGACCAACAAACATCGCCTTGCCAAATGGGGCACCAATGAAGAAAAGAAAACATGATGTGATGTGATCTGTGCCAACAAAGATTATCCCAATTCGACCATTGTATGCGTGTTTTACGAATTGAGACGGCTCACTCGAAGAAAGTATTTTTTTTAACCCTGGATGTCCCCGATTCGTAGCTTGTCACATTTAATATGTAGATATATATATAATATTAGCATATGGCTGATAAGTATAGTTACTAACCAGTTACAATCCTCCGTTGTGTTCCCTTCGTCCAAGTCGCGATAGACGCGCTGTGCCTTCGATCGATTCACCACCTCGCCTTCCATCAGCTTGCCCTGAATCTCCATGGCCAAACGGCTGGGCATGGCAGCAGATCCAGAGTCCATGGGTAACACGAAGGAAAAGCGACCTGCGGCGATCATGGGTTGCCATCATATTAATACCACATTATATATATATACATACTGTATATATATATATGTGTATATGTATTATATATATTATTATATTATATTACTTATACTATATTATTAATTTATATTATATTACAAAAATTAATTATATTACATTATATTACATTATATTATATTATATTAAATTAATTATATTATATTATATTATATTATGTTATGTTTTATTAAATTATATTATATATAAAATATATTTTATTTTATTATATATATTCAATATTATATATATATTATATCAAATTACATTATACTGTATTAATACATTATATTATATTATATTATAATTTATTATATTATACTATATTATATTATATTGTATTATATTATATTATATTATACTATATTATAGTATATTATATTATATTATATTTTATTATATTATACTATATTATATTATATTATACTATACTATACTATATTATATATATTATATTGTATTATATTGTATTATATTATATTACACTGTATTATATATTATATATATATATGAGTCGCGGAATGTCGCGGACAAAATTACTTACTACCCGCAATGGACATGGCCAAATCCTATGTGTGAAAATAGGGTATCGGTAAGTGGGTGGTCCCCCTATTGGTTGTGAATGTTTTCGCACAAATTTGAACATCCTCAGTCCACTCCCTACTACTTTAGTCTTCTGCTAATTTTGTCGGTTACTCATATCAGTATGAACGTATATTATTGTTTGATATTGTTTGCTAATGAACTAGTACCCCAAAAAAATAACAGCCCAGGGAGTTATTTGTCCGGGGTTAACATCAGATGAACCGCAAAACATACTGCTTGGAAGATGGCTCTCCTTCTGAAGATTGCCATCTATGAGTTCATGCTAAAATTTGACGGTGTAAATATGTGTGTGTGGTAATACATATATTTGAATAATGTTGGAGGTAAATTGCTGGTAAACTATAGGATCTAGATAGATGATAGGAATTCCCCTCATTCCATGGCTTTTACGTTGCCTCAACTCGCAACCAGTGCGACCTGAGACTGGCAGGCCGTTGCCCTGCCTTCCATTCTTTTGGCTTGAGGATTCTGGAAAACCATCCTCAACTGCAAGGTGGGCCTCCCAAACGTTCGCTAAGTTGGTAACTACAATAACTCTTGGGTTTACAGAAAAAAATATATATATATATTCTATATACAGTATATATTATAGTTATAGTCTATGATTATCTATAATCCATAATTAGATGGGGTTATAAACCAACGTATACCTGGAGGCCCCACATAAAGCGCGCAATGGGACATTGCGGGGGACTGGTGGCCATGGAATGGCAAATTTCCCACATCCCTGATCATCCCATCATGTCCGCTGAGCCAAGCAACAATTTCCCAGGAAAAAATCGCTGAACGGTCTTGGATACCTTTCAATTATCAACATCATCATTTCATATCCCATATGCTCCATGTATGGAAATTTTACCAACATTAACCCTCAAAATCACCCAAATGTAGGTAAATATACCATACATGGAGCATATGGGTATCATTTCCCCATGGTTTTTTGATTGTAAAGTTAATCTCTTCAACCCAACCTGCATCAATGGTGACAGGTGGCTCATTTTCCACCAGGGCAAAGGGCCCCATCATGGCCGCATTGATGGCCAGACTCAGCAAGATCAACTCCTGCCCGGCCGGATCCTGCAACGACACGGCCGGCGCCGCGCTGACAACGGCGAAGTTCAGAAGGGCCAGGCAGCGCCATGGGAACGGTACAGGCGGCATGGTGAGGTGGCTCCTTAAAACTTGAGCCAAGTTAAGCTGGAAATAATCGAGTGGGGCGGTTGGGTGAATAAAAAATATGTAAAATCCCTACACCTGCTGTTTCTCGGAATTCCAATGAACTGATATCGAATTCGTGATGTTAATCTGGAGCTGAGGGAGCACTTTCGGGAAAAACACATATATCAATTTATATGCATTATAACTGATATATGAGGATATGTGTACGTAAATATGTATATATATATATACTTATATATATATATAGTGTTATATTTTATATTATATTATATATTGTATTATTGTATCATATATTATTATATTATAATATATTATTATATTCTAATATATACTATTATTCTGTATTATATGATAGTGTCATATTGTATATCAAATATTATAGTATACAGTATATATATATATTAGGTTATGTAATGTTATGATATATTATATTATGTAATACATAGATATATGAGATAATGTAAACCACTATAGTATACTATAATATACCATGATATAATCTAACAAAACATAATATAAATATTAATATAATATAATAGAATATAATATGTCATATACATATATTATGTGCATTTTGCAGTTTCAGTATATAACACCAGTACGATCCTTCCCCGCCAACGTTCCGGGCCGTTCCGGACCGTTCCGGGCCTCACCAAGCTCTTGAAGTGGCCAAAAGATGTCCTTCCTGCCAGCGAAATCTATCTTCGCATCCATCCCAAGATTTCGTCGATCGAATTCGTCCCCATTTCTTAGATGGGGTACCCTCTGGTAATTCAACATAGCTATTGAAAATGGCCATTTATAGTGGATTTTCCCATTAAACATGGTGATTTTCCATAGCTATGTTAAATTACCAGAGGGTATCCCATCTATGGATTATAACATATTATAACATTTACCAGTAGTACCGCACAAGGCGGTGGCGGAAGTTTCGAAAATGGGAAACCTATAGGAGAAGTTGGTTGTTGTGAATCACGGATGGCAGAGCGAATCCACTGATTGAACGAAAGGTGGTTGGAGTTGTGTCTGCTGGAGTGGTTGCAATGGTTGCAGTGGTCACCTCACCCACAACTGCTGGATGTAGTGTGATGTACTGCTAACTGTAGTTGTAGTTGTAGCGTAGTGGAGTAGTAGTTGTGGTGTAATGTAATTAGTGTAGTGTAGTTGCAGTCATATAGTTGTAGCTGTAGTTGTTTTGTAGTTGTAGTTGTTTTGTAGTTGTAGTTGTAGTAGTTGTTGTTGTTGTAGTTGTAGCTGTAGTTGTTGTGTGGTTGTAGTTGTTGTGTAGTGTAGTTGTAGTAGTAGTTGTTGTAGTAGTTGTTGTAGTAGTTGTTGTTGTTGTTGCTGTTGTTGTTGTTGTCGCTGTTGTTGTTGTTGTTGTAGTTCTAGTTGTAGTTCTAGTTGTAGTTCTAGTTGTAGTTCTAGTTGTAGTTGTAGTTGTTGTGTAGTTGTTGTAGTTGTAGTTGTTGTAGTTGTAGTTTTTGTGGTTGGTGTTGGTGTTGTTGTTGTTGTTGCTGTTGTCGTCGAAGTTAGGGTAGTTAAGTTAGTGAAGTTAATTAAGTTAGTCAAGTTAGTTAAGTTAATCAGTGTCTACTTTTTCGACATCTTCACACCAAAAAAGGCTCAAAACCCTCAGTTTTTTTACACTTTTGACTTCGAAATGTGCTTCGCGCCACAACGGCGTGCACTTTTTCGACACTTTTTCGACATCTGAACCTCCAAAAGTGGTCCGAGAATGGTGTGTTTTCTACATTTTCACTTGGAAATGTGCTTCGCGCCACAACGGCGTGCACTTTTTCGACATCGGAACTTCCAAAAGTGGTCCGACATTGGTGTGTTTTGTACATTTTGACTTCGAAATGTGCTTCGCGCCACAACGGCGTGCACTTTTTCGACATCGGAACTTCCAAAAGTGGTCCGACATTGGTGTGTTTTGTACATTTTGACTTGGAAATGTGCTTCGCGCCACAATGCACTTTTTCGACATTTCCAAAAGTGGTCCGACCACATTTTGACGTGCTTCGCGCCACAACGGCGTGCACTTTTTCGACATCTCAACTTCCAAGAGTGGTCCGCTCCTCTAGTGTTTTGTCACTTTTCAATTGGAAATGTGCTTCGCGCCACAACGGCGTGCAATTTTTCCTCTCTCATCTGGCCAGCTGGCTCCGCACCCGCCGCTTTAGCGAGCCTACTTTTCGATTCTCCGGAGCCACAAATCATTGGAAAAACACAGTGAATCGCGACTTTCCTATCTTTTCGCGCATCTACATCTTCTTTCTTCTGATCTTTTCTCTTCTGACTCTTCTCACCTCTGCTTTTCAACTGTCCATATTGTCGGAAGTATAGCTTCTAAACTTCCTTCGATTACAACTATGGTCTATGGAATGTCTATGGTTAGTGATGAAAAACCATTTACTCAGTGGGATGAGCCTCCAAGGAAAGGCAAATAGCCAAAGACCATTCCTTGATTCCTCTGATCTTCTGCTTCGGTGGCTTCTCAAGACAAAACGCTTAAAGAATTTGGACTTTGACGTCCAAAACGCATCAAACGCCCTGTATCTACTTAACGCAGCTGTCCAAACATGCTAACGTTCGATTGAACCTCCATCTTTGTTTCTGGATCTGTCAGGATTGCTCCTAGCGCCCAGAATACTCAGTCCCAACTCGAGATGGCGACCTACCCCATTCCTGTGGTCATGTTCAGTGCATTGATTTGAGGGATTTCTTTAAAGGAAAACCCAGTCGATTTGATGGTAAACACCATGGCTTTCTGCAGAATTTCCCGAAAAAAAATAATCGATTGAGCAAAATCAACGACCAAAGATTCTACAAGTAGACCCGGTCGTTTCTTTTAGTCATTTCTGGTGGTGCTTTTCCGCTACAGTAACCCCCTGTAAGAGTACATGTTAGCATGTATACTGTTCTGCATCTTTTTCGGGGCTGGTATAAACCAGTCAGATGGTTAAATCATATTAAATCCCATTACCATTAAAATCATCTGAGTATAAAATCCCATTACCATTAAATCCCATTACCATTTTCCATTAAAATATCAGATGGTTAAATCCCATTACCATTAAAATCCATTCAATCCACCCACCTTGGTTGGTATCCAGTTCAAACACCACAGACTTTTCCCAATACTTCTCCAGAAGATCTCCTGAGTAAGGCATCCGCATCCAGTTGCAGTCGTCGCAGGGTGCCAGGACCCCTGGCAGAAACCATGAGGAAATCATTGGACAACACGAGGTTGTTAAGGGCTTCAAAAATGGCAATGAGGAAAACATTGGAAAACAGAGGGAACCCTTTGGAAACAGTAGTATAGGATAGTATAGGTAGAAAAGTATGGAAAAACAACACCGTTGCAGGGCATTTGTACCCGATTTCAGCGGCGTCTTAAGATGCTGCTTAGCCACATACATGTACATATACAGTATATACAGTCTTTCCGTTTATGGCAAAAGATTGAGCACCATACTAAAGCATTGAAGTACCCTGTCCAAGATTGACCCAAAATAATATTCCATGTTGATCCATATTATTGTTAATTAATTTCCGTTGTAGTTATCCTATGATCTCAAATGTTATCCCGAAAAAAGATGCTCGGTTCAGTTCCCATATTCAAGGATTACCCAGAAAGGATCCAAGTCCTTTGCTGAGGGAAGCTACGCAGCTGCTCCTCAAATCATACCCCAAATCTCCCGTACCAAAGGTACAGCTGGATCCATAGGGCTCAATTATATTCCATCATACCAGTACCTTTTATTACACTATAATGTTTCACTATATCCCATTGTGCCTCAGTAAATCACCATAAAATGATTGGTTTTAGACCTTTACAATCCGAACGCGAAAAAAACGTTAAACGCTTGGTGAAATCCTAGAATTGATGATAGAAACATCACATCCCCTTTTCGTATTCCAAAACATCCATCATATTTGATATTCATCAATATTCCATATAATTTAATGATCATGCCCTTAGATGGATTTAAATATCAAATCCTTTTTGAAGATAGATAAATGATCATAAATGGATTATGGATACATATAAATTTCATTAAATTTCGCGATATTCATCTGAAATATAAAAAATCCTTCCATTGAAGAGGTATATACTGTTTACTTGGAGATATACATAGATTATGACATAATGTTATATGTAAATAACGAATAATCTATTCAGTCTATAATCAAAATAAATTATCCCACCATGATGGCTATCATATCCCATCATTTCCCACCAGGTGGGGCCATGGCTCCATGATCTCCCATGGCATCTATGGTGAATATATAAACTAGACTATCGTCTCCCCGAGTCTCCCCATATATTTTATGGACGTATAAACCATAATTATATCAATATATATATATATTATAGATAATTATAGTCTACTATAAATGTATATAAATGTCTATAATTCGATTTAATATCATCTATCCCCAAATGTGTTAAAATCATATAAAAAATAGGCTCCGGCCACGGCTGTTGTCCCGCCTCTCCACCACGATCCCAGGAATTGGATCATCTGTGCCCAGCCAACCTGGCCACTGGATGGATTGATGATGGATTTCTCATGGATTTATGAGGGGTTTGATCAGGCATTGCAACTAAACCCCCCCAAAAAATGTGGATGAAGCATGATGAAGCCATCATTTCGGTGATGCTTCTGGCTTCCGCAACTGGCCACTCTTTTCCAAGCACAGCCCAGTCACCGCGCACGCCCTGCAGGGGAATGGCCGCAGCGGCTTTGGCGCCAGGACCAGCGTGGCGCCAGGCGATGCTTGGGCTGGAGAGTCCCAACTCTTCGGCGTCACCACCTGGGGGAAATCAAGGCCTGGGAAGTCCTGGTTTTTATACCTAGATGTGGCTGGTTTTTATCCAGCGTTGAACATGTTGACTCCTAGAAGGGTAGTCCTAGATCTGAGATTCTATATCCTACCCCTCTGGTAAACATACAAAAAACGATGGAAAGATCATTTTTAATGGGAAAACTCACTATACATGGCCATGTTTAATAGCTATGTTAGTTTACCAGAGGGTATCTTTTGCCATTTCTATACAAGAATCTATCTTTACATCCCATGGCAATGATATATAGAATTGCTGTTCTGCTGTTCTGGATTGTTCTGGCATCTTGTTGTTGGTGATTTCTATAAGTGCCAATATTGGATAATATTGTTCAATGTGATCCCAATTCTTGATAGGAAATCCCGACTGGTGCACTTATATACTGAATATCTTTGGCCTTAAGTATCCAACGAGATACTTGACCAAAAGGATTCATGGTGGAAAAGGAAGGTGCGAGCCAATCTGCATGGGGGTGCCAGCACTCATATTTCAATGGTGATTTACTATATATATACAGTATATAGCCAATAATATGGGGATATTATATAGTAATACATAGAGAATTACATATGTAACTTACATAACTCACAATCAAAATATTGTGGGGAAACCATGGGAAACCTCCAATCCTCATCAAATCAGGAAACAAAACATGGCATGTTTCATCTTAGATCCCAGTTAAACGATAGGTCCGATAGGCTCATCAACTCATCTCTTTTTAAACCAATCACCAAGTCACTTTCGATCTGTGGGAAACCCATCCCAAGTCGCCAAAAATAACCAGAAAGCCAGGAACATCATCGTATCTCTAATTTATGGGGGAACATAACATCTGAAACCACCAGAGAAGCCTCGCAAATTGATGACGTGGAAAGCCACACCAGTGCTGTCTGACTCCTGGCGAGCCGGCTGGTGCCTTGAGGGTCTGAGTGATTCTTTGGGATGGACATTCCAACATGACAACCTGGAAGTTCCTGCCCCATCTTACCCTCTGGTAAACTAACATAGCTATGGAAAATCACCATTTTTTATGGGTAAATCCACTATTTCTATGGCCATGTTCAATGGCTATGTTAATTTACCAGAGAATCCCCCGTCGCCCTAGTCCCATAGGCCCCATGGGATTGCCAGCCTCTCTGGGCCCCAAAGATACCAGACATTCCCAGGTTCCATCGGGCTCCCCTTGGGGAGAGACCACCTGCAGATGGGCAGGAAGGTGGTTAAGGCAATAGGATCCAAAAACACCCCAAGTCATCAGCATTTTTATGCTTGGTAGAAACATGTAGAAACCATCAAAATATGGATGGTTTATGACATTGCTTTACTAACATTACATCAGGACTCAGGATTTGATTCGGAATACGGGATGAGAGGATCAATATCTTAACAGCTGCACCCTGTAACCAATGACCAATGGCATTTTCATCCAGGCTTGACATAACATGGCGAAAATAAAGAAGACACGATGGCGAAGCTTCGACATCCCTTCAAACGACAGACTCTGTATAGTGATGTTATTAGCTAGAGACATTGACATGGATCCTTTTTGTTTCCTGATTTGCTAGAAATTCACCCGTTGACCAACCTGGATTGACAAGTGAAAGTCGGATGAGCTTCGCCTATCCCAACCTTTGGAGGTTCTGAACAGGACATAGTCATCCGGACCAGAACTGCGGTATGTAAAATCCTGTAGTAATCATTATAAATCCATGTAAGTCCATATCAATCCTACCCTCTGGTAAACTAACATAACTATGGAAAATCACCATTTTTATGGGAAAATCCACTATAAAATGGTGATTTTCAATAGCTATGTTAAATTACCAGAGGGTATATCAATTCTATCTAAATTCTATATAAACCCGCGATTTTTCAATTACTGAACTCATCTTCCAACGTTTGTTGGGAGGTCTTACTTTATCAAGGTACCACTGCGGTGCTGGTAGACAAGCCCAGCTTGGTCAAGATGTCGCTTTGCGCCAGCCTTACCACCTGGCAGCTTGGCAAAAACCAGGGGTTATCCTTGGGGAGATCATGGGGTGATGGGGATATCATGGGGATATAGCTATAACTATGTAACCATATGTATATATATGTATATCATACTGTATATCAATGATTATATGTACTAATATAGTATAGGAAGCAACATCTTAAATGATCTAACTGGGTGATTTACCTAATCATTCAGTGGTCACGATCTGGTCAGCATAGGGTCAGTTATCATCGTCATTAGATCATTTTAGTATTGAAACAACCATGATGTTCATCCATTTGAATAGGATGTTCCAATATTTTCCATGGTAAAACCCTCCAGCTATTGGTGATCCCCATGACTTCAGAACTCCCCAGGGCCGAACTCCACAGCCCCACCGGCCTCCGCCCAGGCTCCAGCGGCGCTCAAAGGTCGCGCATGTGGTGGCCAAACGAGGCGATGCCACTCAGCTTTGAAGGTCGTTTCCTGGGGCACCAGTGGGGCACCACCAGTTGCTGCTGGGGGCACCACCTTGGGGGGCACCACCAATGGCACCATTGGTGGCACCACCAATGATATACCACTAGTCATACCACTAGTCATACTTAGTCCATGAAGAGATCACTTTTTGGTGTCATGAGAAACATACGTGGGGAAGAATTCTGAATTTGACCCACACTTCAGACTGCCCTGCTTGGTACAATGTGTCAATGTGTTCCAACAGCTGCATGCAAGATTCTCCCAGCTTCCGAAAAATGGAATCCTTCTCTTCGTCGCTTCCACGCAAGACCTGCGACCACGCTGCAGGTCCCTGAAACATGGCGCGTTTTCGGGGCAGCCTAGTCTGTTCCGCAGGTGCTTTTCCACAAGAGCCACTGAGCTTTGGGCAGTAACCTGATACGATGAAAAAATAAGCTCCCACCCAAAAAACAACGAAAGCTACGAAGAGAAGGAGGAATTCTAATAGTCCAGAGTCCAGAGTGATCAAACATCGACATCCCATATTTCACGGGCCTTTTATAAATCGCACTTCCACCCAGTCGATCATCAAACATCATGAAACATCGACCTTGCACAAGAATGGTTGTAGAATGAACACAAATTATCCTCAAGAAGTCTCAAGAATCATTGATATCATTGGTATCATTGGATGGTTCTCGCTACTTCCCAGATCTTCCGCCGATCTTCCCTGGCGACCTTGATCATATGTTCTAGGTCCTCTGTTGGAACTCCTTGTTGCACCAAGGCTTTTTGGAAGATCTCGACTGGCACGCAGCCTGCGCCAGAAGCGAAATGCCGAAATGTTGAGTTGTCTAAAAGTAGGGGATACCCAGAAATGTATTTTTTTTTAATGGGGAAAATGAGGATAGTCCATTGGAATATATTGGAATATGCGATAGCCCATTTTCAGACAAACCCATATGCAAAACCATGTCACAGATTGTCACAGCAACATTTGATGCATCAAATTTCAAACCAAACATTGGACCTGTCGAAAAAAAAGTTTCGGCACCGGGGCTCCAGACCTTTCAAACCCAGGGTGGGTTTCCAGCCGGTGCGAGGTGGTTCACTGTGTCCACCCATGTTGCTCACATAGCGGGAAGTTTCCTGGCCCGGCCATTCCCAGGGCCTTTGGCAACACCAGCCAGTCGAGATGATAGTCCCTCCCCAAATGCGCAATTTTGTGTGGTCAAATGATCAACTGCAACCTGTTTTTTGCAGCTTTGTACCTCCAAACAATATGTCTATACTTAAATCCAACCATGTATTCCTGCAGCTTTACACACATCCAAAGATATTCCTATCCTAAGTCCAACCATATGATTCTGCATACATCCCCAATTCCAAGCTTTTAGCTCTTAGTAGTTATAATATGTTTGTACTGTACTTGTTACACCTTGTACATCTGAAAACACAGGGCCGAACATACCCCCATCCACCGCTGGTTTTGCGGACCTTGCTTTTGGCTTGAAAAACGAAGCCAGTGAACTCCTGTCGGGAGTTGATGCGCCAGCATGACTCCTCAACGGCAAGTGGGTATACGGTACATTAAAGGCCGTGTGTCTATGGGAAAATGATGCTAAACTGATGGATTTATATAAATTAGGGGATTTTAGGGGTACCCTATTTTCAAACAAACATATAGATGTGATCGGACTGACGGATGCACTGGTAGTTCTTAGGACTTCGGATCAAACAATTCTCATGCCAACTCTCGAAGAAGGAACCATGAAACTATGGGAGTACAACATTGAGAGTTGAGCCATGGCCACTAATCTTGAACATGTTTGAAACATGTTGAAACATTGCGACGTTTTCAAAAACTCAAAACCCTTCCCTCATTCTCGTCCATGGGCCAGCCCAACTTGGGCTGGCTAACTTCCAATGACATCCCGGATCTGGATCTGTCATCATTCCCAACCGGGTCCCCCAACCGGGTCCCCCAACCGGGTCCTGCTGGTTGTAGTAGATGATACACCCAGAGGGAGACTTGTAGCAGGAACGCTTGTTGAAACGATCGAACCACTGGTAGGTGCCATTGCAGCGACCCGCGCCTGTGACCTCGATGATGCGATCTCGAAGAAATCTGTCTGAAAAATGATGGAGTTCGTCAGTTGGGATGATGACATTCCCAATATACTATTCATCCACCTTTGAGATTCTTCCTCTTATAATTCCAAGGAAAAATCCTAGTAATCCATATTATAAATTACTATTAAATCCTAATGAATCCTATGGTCTATTCCTGTCAAAAAAAACCTGTCCATCCTATGGTCCCACACCTGGATGCTCCAACTTCGCGTCTGCTGGCGGTAGCGTTTATTGGCCACCAAGCGCAGGACATGTTTCTTGAGGCACACCTCTCCGTGGATCTGCGCCTCCTGTGCTTCGTTTTAACCAGCCGGAGCCCGAGCCGAAAAAACGCAGAGATTTTGGCGGCCAGACCCAAATGGTATTTTCACAATTGTTCACAAGGGAATCTAACTGATCATCTATCACTTCTGACTCCCGCACCAAAGATGTGGATATGATTAAGCTGTTGGCCATGAGTCGGCGACTGAGTGTCTCCTTGTAGATGTTCAACACGTCTGAGCATCCTACCGCTGGGTTGTCCACACGAACTTCTCCCAACTTGGCCCAAGGGGTGAAGTCGCAAAAGCTCTTCCTGTGAGCCGAGCTGTTCACTCGGCGCAACGGAGAACGGAGAATCAGACAGGAATCAGACTTCGGTGAAACTTCGCTACAATGTGCATGGATATAGAATTGGGGGTGAAGGAACTTCCCAAGAATGGATGGACATTGACATGGTAGCATGGTTACCATTTGCTACCCCTCAGGATCGAAGCTTTGTCCATGCAATTCGAGGTAAATCAACGCCCGATTAGGTCATCGCCATGAACTGACAAGTCACGGCGGTGGGGGCTTAAAGTCAGGACCGAAGTGAAAGCTCGCGGAACCTTTGATGGAAATAGCTGGGAAGAGTCCCTCATGGTAGCCTCAGCAAGGCTACAGGTGGAAGTTGTAAGTTGGAAGGTGAACACAAAATGATGGAAGAGACTGAAAAAATGTGGGTATGAAGCAAACTTGGGCAGCTTGAAAGTTGCATATAGAATATAGTTGACTACCTGCAAGCTGCTGCCTGGCAGCCGACTAGTCTGTGATTCCCTAGGTTTTTAACTTCACCAAAACCACACATAAATCCTCAACTAAAATGACATCAAGCTAAGGTATCAGGACCCTCACTATGGGCCGCTGAATTTCTGGATTTGTTGAAGGAACCCACAACTTTTCATGGGGAAACTGTTTTTTTCCACTCCAACTTCCAGCCAAGAGCCAGTGATTGAAATTCTGACACTTGGTGGACCCCAAGGCCATCCAAGGCCATCCAGCCGGCCCCAGGTTCGGTGGCATCCACCTTCCCTCTTGATGGGCACCAGATCCGCCCTGGTGTGACTTGCCAGCCAGGTCGCAGGGCATATCCTCCTGTGTGATGTGTGGGTTCCAGGTACTTCCCCAGGCACCATCTGATGCAAAGGTCACAGTGCCATGGTCCAAGTCTACTAAAACACCTGGGCACGGACCATTGCATACCCTTGTGGCTGTCGAATGGTGTCGGTGTAACTGACTGTACCGAACCAAGATGGGTATATTCAGCGGCAACACCTGTTAAGCTGCAACACCTGTTAAGCTGCAACAATTGGCTTGGAACCAAACAACATGTTGATATGCACCTTCTGATGTGATCAAACAATTACCCCATAAAAGGGGGGGGATCATGATGTTGGCAGTGGAGAGCTGGACATCTACGATCATCACTGGTTGGTGGTTGAGCCACCCCTCTGAAAAATATGAAACTCAATTGGGATGATTATTCCCAATATATGGAAAAATAACACATGTTCCAAACCACCAACCAGATCACGTAGGTGATCTTCAGCACGCAACCATCAACTGTCAACATCTAGATTTTCGACCAGAAATAATGAGCGGCAATCCCTAACCATTTAAGTACCATAAATGCCGCAAGTCACAAGTCTGAGTTGATTGAGAACACATAAGTCAAAAAAAAATCAAATAAAAAATGCCATATGGGGATTTCCTAAAATGGAGGTACCCCAAAATCATCAATTTGTATAGGAATGTCCACTATTATAAACCATCCATTTTGGGGTACCACCATTTGTGGAAACCTCCAAATACATGCTCCAAAAAATTAATCACTCCAAGATACCCACCAGCACAGTCTTGCCCAGAATTTCGGATTGTTCCCTTTCATAATTGTCCTGGGATTTGTTCAAGATGGCCCAGCAAAACAAAAAAAACTAAAGATTCCCCAACCCATAGGATCCATGTATGCTATATATGGTAACATTTACCATCAATATACACCAAATGTTAGCATATATACCATACATGGATCCTATGGGCAAATGGTGGATTTACCAATAGAAAATCAAAAATCGCCGACTCAGCAAATCACCATTGAAATCCCCACAAGTTTGCGCAAGTTAAATCAGCATGTTCTTCAAGGTAAATCCCATCCCATTAAATCATTCTAAATCCCAAATATTGCTGGCTATATCACCATGCTTCCACATTTCTCCACTCAAATCCCATGGAAAATCCGCCATTGTTGAAAAATTATGTTTATAAAGTTTTATAATACATCCCTTTCTACCCATAAAAATGGTTGCTTATATATACTGTTAATACCAATTAAATCGTAGTCCCAACCCCCTTCATATCATATAAACACCCCCATTCTGTGGTCTCAAACATGTGTTTTTTAAACTTTTATCTCCCATTATTCAAACCATGGTGACTGTGGGGCATGTTTAATGTGAACGGCCAAGGGGATTGCAACCCAATAAATTGATAATAAAGCAAGTGAAATCTCATTGAATCCCATTAAATTCCCCATTCTTCTTGGATAAATCCACATAATATCACCATTTCTTTAATCATCCCCTATGGCTCCAAATACTTTCTGAGAACTTACGGCTAACCCCCCAAACCATAGCCCAGTCATACTTCCGAAGGTATAGCTGGATCCATATCATAAAATCCTCCAAGTTTCACAGTCGAAGTGGACTCGCTCAACCGAACCCTTGGGCCAGCTGACGTTCCACGAGCTCACCGGGCCATTTTTGAGACACGCGCCGTGCAGACCATCGACGCCACAGCTGTATTCATCGTCGCCAATGCCACCGATACCAGTGACACCTGAGATGAAAAACAAGGGTGGGACAGAAAAAATCGGATAATGATAAAAAAACAAACTATCAAACGATCATAGATGAGCAAAGATGACCCAACCCAGAAAGATAAGTGTACCTTGGGCAGTTTTGGCGTTTTGTGGCGTTTTGTGGCACTTTATGGCACTGGCTTGGCTTCGATTCTTCGATCAAAAGTGACCAATCCAGTCTCCAGGAGACTCTTCACTCCCACCGTCCACATGAATTGATCACCTGCAAGTCCAACGTGCGGCAGAATGCAGCCCTCCTTCAGCTCCACCTCGAAAAAGAAGCAACCTGCAAGCAAACAAGGCTCGGTGGTCCTATAGCCCAACAGAGGGATTAACAAGTACTTAGGGGATGTTACAGGGAGGTGCCCTAGTTCGTTAACTTGGCAACTTGGTTTGTAGATCTTGTAACTTTGGTTTATGATGGTTTATGTGTGCATATCTGCATATAAGTATTGGGGGCTACAAACCGAGCACGCACTCAGGGGTATGTACTTCATCAAAGCCACACAGTAGTACTCTACGTTCCAGTGGGCTACATCATCCCACCCCATGCGCCCAGCATGTCTTGTGAAACAACGCAGCACCTTCCTTCCGTTTCAGTTGGGGGAAGCCAAAGGTGAGCCATTCTCTGATGGAATTCTCTGTACTTCCTGCGGCCAGTTTCGCGAGGGATGAACTCGGCATTTGGCACTGCGTTTATCCCAATTCCAGGGTAAAACCACTGGAAGCTGGTTTAAAACCACCATCTTGAAATTAGTCAATGGGAAGGATTATCCATGATTATCCCATATATTATGGAAAATAAAATTCATGTTCCAAACCACCAACCAGGAAGAGTCTATGAGCTCCAACGAATCATGGAACAATTCTCACTTCAGTAGCTCCAACGGTCCATCATTTTACAGCAACGCATGTCGCCGCTAGAAACACTGCGTCGTCCGACCTGGGGGTGTCCGACCAGGGGCCACATCTGACACCATCGAGACATCATCTGACTATGGTTTGATCATCAGTCATCAGTTTCCCACCCAAAATGGCCATATGATGACATATACATTTATCATCATTTATCCCTATAATTCATCCTTAATCTCTAACTTCCGAAAATCATCATCAATCATCATCAATCATCAATCATTTACTTTACAGTATCTCAACTCATCAGGTTTTCAGCAACTCCAGCCATTTTCGGCTCAATGCGGCGTCTCGCCTCGCATGAGCTTTGGCAACTCCTCCGCGGCTCGAGGCTCCGGAGCCATGGCCACGTCCAAAATGCCCTGGATTTCGTGCTCGTGGTATTCCTCCAGGACCTGGATGTCGAAGAAATCGAAGGAACTGGGAAAGCTTGAGATGTTGAGATGGGGATGGGTCAAAACCCTGGTACCTAGTGAACCCCAAAATAGCTGGTAAATGGATGTTCATTCCTCTAAAAATGGTATTAATAGGTATTGATCCATACCCAGATATGTTGGCTGGTTGATGGTGGTTGACCTACCCCATCACCATGGTTAATGATGATGGTTATTATATGGTTATTATACATGGTTAATGATGGTTAATAATAATCTGGTTGGTGGTTGAGCCCTACCCCTCTGAAAAATGATGGAATTCGTCAGTTGGGATTATGACATTCCCATTGTTTAATGGGAAAAATAAAATTCATGTTTCAAACCACCAACCAGTTGGGATAGCTTGTGGAGTTTGCGGTGAAAAACTGAGAAAGGATGAGTTTGAAGGGATGTGTCAGTGTGTCTTTAAGATTTGAGTTGATCTGCTTGATTTAAAGACACCAACACTGACTCAAGGCTATTGTGGAGTTTATACACCAACATTGCGTGTATTGTGGAGGAAGAAATCCGAACATATGGGAAGCGGATGATACAGTGACCCCAAAACGATGCAGAACAAGTTTGAACCAATTCATTGACTTAAGGATGGGGTTTTGCAACATGTTGCATCCATTTCTTTTTAAGGGTTTCTTCAAATAAGGAGACCCACCATGACCCACCGCTGTTTGGTTCAAGAGAAAATTGTACACGAACCCGTGATGATTGTTTGCTTTCAAACATCTACACTGATCTGCACGGGGTTCCTGAATGTCTTGTCCCTTGACAAACTTGTTTTGTGGATGTTCCGGCGCAACGGATGACCCACTGGAACCATCATAAACCATTCAAAAAAAAACGTCCTTCACCATGATCCCGTCACCCTCCTGAAACCCAACCAGCTCTGTCTTTGCCAAACGACATGTGCATATTTGTCCAGGACGGCCAACCTCGAGCCTGCGCTGGAAACCCACAACTGCGATGGAGGTGGGAAAATGATGGAAAATGATGGAAAATGATGGAAAATGATGGAAAATCTAGGAATCTCCATGAGCTCTGGTTGCCATTTTTGTCTCTCAGAACTTGAAAAAACGACCGCCTTCGATCCCACCAGAATCCGTGGCTGCAAAGCTACACCGCAAACGCACATCCTTCAGCACCAGGTAACCTTGGACCGTTTCAAAGCGACGGCACCCTTTAAATGCCTAGGGATCGGAAGTGATGGGATTTTGTATGGGATTTTTGTTACGCGATATCCATGGAAATTATATGGGCGGGAGTCCTATGATACTATGGGGATAGAGATGAAATTTTGATCAAGAGCCATATATTCTGATATACCCTCTGGTAAACTAACGTAACTATGGAAAATCACCATTTTTGATGAGTAAATCCACTATAAATGGTTATTTTCAATAGCTATGTTAGTTTACCAGAGGGTATTCTGTATGGTTCACCTCTGAGATGCTCGCCCCTTTCCACCAGGACACTGTCTCCATACTGAAGCGCTGACCTGCAGCCCTCGAAGTCATTGGTCACCTAGGACAGGGTCCCAGCTGACTCTGACCCATGACCTATTGGGGTCTCCATAGCATCTCTTGTTCCCTTTCCGGGGGTCACAAAAAAAACCTCTTCATCAGCAAACCAGTGACATTCAAAGCTCCGTACTTGCAGCGCTCAAAGGGTGTTGCATCATGATAGGCATCACCAAAGAGATCTTCTTCCCATCCGATGCGAATGTTGTTTCCTGGTGGATGCATCCATCGGAACCCCCACAGCCATAGATTCTCTGTCCTATTCCTGCAGTTCCTAGATGATCTCGTTCCAAGTCCAAGTTCCCCAAACAAAATGGCGCTTTCCTAAGTCATGAGGCTACCCTAAATCATCTGTTTTTTGGGAGATGTTCCATTAATCCAGCCATAGGTAGCCACAAATAGGTACCGGCTCCAACCCGCCCATACTGACCCATTGCCCTACGGCACCATCGTCCAATGCACCATTGGAGGTCTTCGTCTCGAACTGACTCCTGCCAGCCGTCAAGAAAGGTGCAGCTTTCGCAGGGCCAGCTGAAAAGAGACCTGTTTGGTAGTAAAAGAAGCCACAGCAAGATTGAATTGGAATATACAATAATATTGATATAAGAACATCAATATGAATATAATATAAACATATCAATATAAGAATATTCACATTAGAATATTGATATAAACTAATATAAGCATATTAACATAAGAATATTAATATATATATATATACTGCATATATAAGAATATGTAAGAATATTAATAAAAGAACAACGGAATGAATTTGGTCGAAAAGAGTGATAGACTATGCTGATCCCCAAACATCTACTAGCAGAGACAAAAGGTCGAGAACGGTTTGGGATATGTGATGCTGAGAAAATTGGGGAGTACATCATTCTGAACCATTCCCACGTACTGTAGATTCAAGTTCTTACTATTTTTTTTCTGACTTAGATATGGCTAGTCCCTGGTACCCTACTGAGCCCAATATTATCCCATATATTATCCCATATTAGATGGTAAATGGATAATATTTGAATGGGATATTAGATGGGATAATCCTTGGTAGGGTACCTAACCCCAAAGTAAATGGATGTTCATCCCAAAAAATATTTGGACAAAAGCTGACAACCAATAGCTGGAGCCTGTAGAATTCATCGGACTCGAGGAATCGACCCACTGTGTCCTCCGTCGGACAAGGCAATTCCCATCAACCCCCCCAAAAAAACCACCCGAACTCAGGTCATCTCACCAGATTTCACCGTAACCAGGCTAGTCCCTTCAAAAATCCAGAAAAATCCCATAAACCCATCATAAACCCATCATAAATCCATCATAAACCGATGAATCATAAACCCATGGAACTTGGGGCACATCTCCGCATATGTCAGTAAAATCCCTGGGCCCGTGCCCGTTGCGCCAAAGCCACCAGCTGCACGTGGATGATGACGGGTGCCAGGTCTTGAACCCAGCTCAAGACGGCCTGAGGGTTCAGCCATGGTACCCCTTTATCGCTGGATGGTTTATTTCATGGCAAATCTATCTACTGGTTGGTGGTTTTAACCATCTTGAAAAATATTAGTCAATGGGAAGGCTTATCCCATATATTATGGAAAATAAAATTCATGTTTGAAAACACCAACCAGTCTATAAATGGATGATAACTATGATGATTAGATAAAATATCACCATGATTTACCATCATATACGTAGTTGTAATATGCTGTAATCTATCCTGGTTGGTGGTTGAGCAATCCCTCTGGAAAATATGACTTCGTCAGTTGGGATGATGACATTCCCAATACATTATGGGAAAATAAAAAATGTTCCAAACCACCAACCAGTATAAATGGATGATAACTGGGGGTAACCCTATGACTTAGGAAACCTCCATATCGATATCATGATACCAAAATGTAAGCCAATGTGTTTCAAAGTACTTAACTCTGATTCTGGCTTAATAATGCTTCTCAATGCTGGTATTTTATGATGAATAATGACTTGCATCTACAGTATATGTAATAAGATATAGATTCATGATTGGTCTTTTCATATTATACTGTAGGTCACCACCTGAGTCACCAATGGACTTATATTTCATGATATGTTCAAAATGGTTCAAGTTGTCCAGGGGACAATTGCTTTGGACAATCTAGCACATATCACATATATTCACATATCTTCTTGAACATGGAACACACATGAAAGAGTGTGCCAAAACATGTGAAACATATCTTATTGAGGATGGAACATCTCGATTCCCAAGTCCTCAACTTGAAGATGAAAGATGATGTAAGCCAACGCCAAGTCTTTCAGGCTCTTGTTTGCCATAAGTCTCGCCTTTTAATCGGAACTTCATGTACCAATTCATGTTGTGGGTTTCGATCGAAGTTTTCACTGTCTTCTGGAAATCACCTGGTCAAACAGCCTAGGATCCGGAAAAGTGGTGAAAGGGTAACGCAACAACGTGCCATGTCTGTCTGGAGAACCTGGAACAAAAAAACATGTTTACAGATGTTTACAGTACATTTTGGGTGTCCTGTTCTGCAAAAGGAAAAGGAATATGTCCCGTTGTGGCCAGCGGTAAGGCGAGCCTGGAGTTCCTTGTCGGTGTAACCCATCTTCTGAAATCGCTCCAAGACTCTGGGATAGGCAGCCTGGATGGGCAGCGGATTTGCCAGCAGATGTTCCAGCGGATTTTGGGTCAAACATGAATGATCTATTATCTCTGCGGAAAAAAACAAACTTTAGTCAACTTTAGTGAGATCATTTGACTCAGATGATTCGTTTGATGATTCGATTTGATTCACATTTAATTCAGTTGCCATCTGGTTCTGCCCATCACTGCCATCCAGTCGCAGGTGATCCGGGGGGTATCCCCAAATCCAGTGCTTGAAACTGGCCATCGAAATAGTGGATTTAGCCATGGAAAATGATGATTTTCCATAGTTATGTGAAAGTTTACCATAGGGTACATGGGATATGAATGATACTTACATGGGGTATGAATGATACTTACATGGGATATGAATGGATACGATTTGATATACCACTATTTTCAGCAAAACCATTTCAAATCTGCTTTGTAAAAAGAAACATGTGGGTTTCCATTCAAGTCCAATTTCATGTTGGTCAAATTCCCGTGACCAGCAAATAGTTTTATAATTGTTTAAATATCCGATGGCCGATGGTAAAACAAAATTACCATGAACAGTCTGTGAACCAATGACTTGTTGGCTTAAATCACAAGTCACTATTCATACTGGTGGTATTTAAACCACCACAGCTTAGACCTTGATAGTTTTGACCAATCAAGAAATACAAGACCCCATTGTTTCCCGATAAATCACAACTCTTGTTGCTCAACCAATCTGCAATATGATCCCTATGATGTACGTATGTTTGGACAACGCCATTCATTATACTACGTTAAAAATTCACATTTTGGCACGTTGAAACAAAATTACGTTTTTTTTTCGACCCATAAAGAATCACAACATCCAACTGTTTCAGTCCCCACTTTTGTTGCTCAACCCATCATACTATGAAACAAAGTCATCGTTGACGGGATTTTTTTCATCCCCATTTCGGCAAGTTAAATCCAACTAATCCAAGCCATGGATGGAACCTTAAGATACATTCTGACCACGATAAGTAATAAGAACTCACCATATAATAACTCACCAGAAAAGAACTCAGTCATAACATCACTAATATGACGATCTTACGAGCTAGGACGTTGGAAACCTCTAACTCCCTTCAAGAATTGGCTACTCTCAGGGTCAAACTGTTTTGGGGGATAGTGAATCAATTTTCAGCCATCTGCCCATATTTATCATTGGTCAAATCCCTATTTTGATGCATGCCACCCTTTTAATAGGGTTTTCATTTGATGCCTTCTTTGTCTGCAATCCCCTTTTTATATGCATCCCTGAAAAACTATAGAACACTAAAAACACCTTGATAAACCCAGATGATTAAACCCCATATTCGATTAAATAATCAAATCACATATAATAAAACCCCATATTTGGTTGATTAAATCATTGATTAAATCCGTACTGTAGTGCTGATATACGGGTTATATCATCTATCTATGTAAATCAATATCAATTCATCAATATTGATGATTTAATCAACCAACATGGGATATGTCAAACTCCTGGTTTGGGCTTTAGTGACGAATCTCTATATGAGGTTTCAGTTGTTTTGATGATTATGTCATTGATCAAATCCATGTCTTAAATCCCCGGTTTCAATGAGTAACATTTGGAAATTTAAAATAGCTATGGGAATCACTACAAATAGGCTGATGTCATCACTACAATTCAAGATTTTGTAAAAAAAAACTGCCCATCGTCAAATAGTAGGTAAATCATCCATACTATCATCTACTTAGCTATCCACCATATACTTCCCACAATCCATTAGATAGTAAAAAACTACCCATTATTCATTTCATAGGTCAATCATCATAAATAATCTACTTAGTCACCATTTACATCATGTTGCATCCAATTACTGACCATTTTCACTGACCATGAATCATAGCTATCCACCATGATCTACCCGTTACCCTCTGGTTATTCAACATAGCCATGGAAGCCATGGCTCATAGAAATAGATGGTTTACCGTTCTTAAAAATGGTGGATCTTTCCAGTTCGCGAACTGTTAGTCATAACCAGATGGTACAAAATTTACTGACAATGAATCATCTGGTTGTGACTAACATAATTAGCCATGGAAAAATCCACCCATTTTTAAGAACGGTAAACCATCTATTTCTATGGGTCATTTCCCATGGCTATGGCTGATTAACCATGGTTGATTTTGAGAACGGTAAACCATCAATAAAGTACCAGCTGGTTACAAATCCTCCAATGGACTCCAATGGACAGATCCCACCTGGTGAAGATACGTCGCCTGTGCGCGCACCAACGCCAGGGCGCGACGTTGACAGGTGGTCAACCGGACGACCTGCCGGAGACCATTCGAAACAGATGGAAGGACGTTCAAGGACGAAAATCATGGGAAAATCGTGGAAAATCCATGGAAAATCCATGAAAACACCTGGTGAACATGGTGAAAATGGGGGGTTCACATGATTCTACCATAACTTAAAGCAGTCGGAAATTCACCAAGAACAAACACGGTCGAATCAACAGAAATGAATTGTTGGAGAAAAATGTTGGCTTAACCAACAGACTGGATTAATGAATAACTGGTCATTCGTTGTACATGCAAGAAACCAAAGCATCGCATCTTCGGGTACCTTACCCATAAGGTCATATCAACCCTTCCCTCCGGATATCCTACCATCTATATGTTGTCATGTGCTATATCACCAGTTTTATATAGTTTTACCAGTAGTACCGCGCAAGGCGGTGGCGGAAGTTTCAGAATAGGAAACCTATAGGAGACGTTGGTTGTTGTGAATCACGGATGGCAGAGCGAATCCACTGATTGAACGAAAGGTGGTTGGAGTTGTGTCTGCTGGAGTGGTTGCAATGGTTGCAGTGGTCACCTCACCCACAACTGCTGGATGTAGTGTGATGTACTGCTAACTGTAGTTGTAGTTGTAGCGTAGTGGAGTAGTAGTTGTGGTGTAATGTAATTAGTGTAGTGTAGTTGCAGTCATATAGTTGTAGTTGTAGTTGTTGTGTAGTTGTGGTTGTAGTTCTTGTAGTTGCAGTAGTTGTTGTAGTTGTAGTAGTTGTTGTAGTTGTAGTAGTTGTTGTAGTTGTAGCTGTAGTTGTTGTGTAGTTGTAGTTGTTGTGTAGTGTAGTTGTAGTTGTTGTAGTTGTAGTTGTTGTAGTTGTTGTTGTTGTTGCTGTTGTTGTAGTTGCAGTTGTAGTTGTAGTTGTAGTTGTTGTTGTAGCTGTAGTTGTTATAGTTCTAGTTGTAGTTGTTGTGTAGTTGTAGTTGTTGTTGTAGTTGTAGTTGTAGTAGTTGTTGTTGGTGTTGTTGTTGTTGTGGTTGCTGCTGTTGTTGTAGTTGTAGCTGTAGTTGTTGTAGTTGTAGTTCTGGTTGTAGTTGTAGTTGTTGTGTAGTTGTAGTTGTAGTTGTAGTTGTAGTTGTTGTAGTTGTAGTTGTAGTAGTTGTTGTTGTTGTTGTTGTGGTTGTTGTTGTTGTTGTTGCTGCTGTTGCTGTTGTCGTCGAAGTTAGGGTAGTTAAGTTAGTGAAGTTAGTTAAGTTAGTCAAGTTAGTTAAGTTAATCAGTGTCTACTTTTTCGACATCGTAACGTCAAAAAAGGCTCAAAACCATCAGTTTTTTACACTTTTGACTTCGAAATGTGCTTCGCGCCACAACGGCGTGCACTTTTTCGACACTTTTTCGACATCTGAACCTCCAAAAGTGGTCCGAGCATGGTGTGTTTTGTACATTTTGACTTGGAAATGTGCTTCGCGCCACAAAGGCGTGCACTTTTTCGACATCTCAACTTCCAAAAGTGGTCCGAATGGTGTTTTGTACATTTTGACTTCGAAATGTGCTTCGCGCCACAACGGCGTGCACTTTTTCGACATCTCAACTTCCAAAAGTGGTCCGAACCCCTGGTGTTTTTACATTTTTGACTTGCAAATGTGCTTCGCGCCACAACGGCGTGCACTTTTTCGACATCGCAACTTCCAAAAGTGGTCCGAAACCCTGGTGTTTTTACATTTTGACTTCGAAATGTGCTTCGCGCCACAACGGCGTGCACTTTTTCGACATCTCAACTTCCAAAAGTGTGGTGGTGTTTTGTACATTTTGACTTCGAAATGTGCTTCGCGCCACAACCGTGCACTTTTTCACATCTCAACTTCCAAAAGTGTCCGACGCTGAGGTGTTTTGTACATTTTGACTTGCAAATGTGCTTCGCGCCACAACGGCGTGCAATTTTTCATCTCTCATCTGGCGAGCTGGCTCCGCACCCGCCGCTTTAGCGAGCCTACTTTTCGACCCTCCGGAGCCACAAATCATTGGAAAAACACAGTGTTTCGCGACGTTCCTACCTTTTCGCGCACCTGCATCTTCTTTCTTCTGATCTTTTCTCTTCTGACTCTTCTCACCTCTGCTTTTCAACTGTCCATATTGTCGGAAGTTTCACTTCTAAACTTCCTTCGATCATATTTCCATAACACTTTTCAAATTAATGGGAACGTACCAAAAACATCTAACTTGGAGGATCAGCATCTCATGTATTCCCATAGATATCGTAACTATACTAACCATGCTTCGTAAGTCCCGATTTCCTGGGCTTCTCCCATACCCTATGTTTGGCCCTATGGATCCAAATCCTTTCTGAGAAGGTATGGCTGGATCCATAGGGATATCAACATTAGTTATATGATATATGATCATATAATATCACATAATATATCATAATATCATATAATTAATATCGTGTATTATTCTGGAAAACATAATAATATAATATCATATATAGCATTTATATATATAATATTATATAATTTTAATTAATGGGATATATCACCAGCTCCTTAAGTGGGATGCTCCAAGTAGACCCGGTCACCCCAGCTTCGCGGTCACCTCTCGCGTCTCGGAGGCCGGAAAGACGGCATCCCAAAAGGGTTGGTCTTCGTCGTGGATACCAACCTCCCGATATCAACGGGGGATGGGACCTGGAAAAGTCACTGGGATATCCTTCTATATCTTCTATTTTCAAGAGGCAAAGTCAAGAAAATCACGGTAAATCATGGTAAATCATGATAAATCGGAATAATTGCGGTAAATCATCATGTATAGTATAGTTATCCTTGATTGAGTCGTTGAATGGGGAAATTCAACAACAATCTTGTCAGAATGTTCACCAGGGGGGCAACAAACATATATATCATATATTATAAAGACGTATGTATATATATATATGTGGAAAACCTTCATTTCAGTCAGAAACTGGTTGTTTGTTTCACTTCCAAGTTCTGCCTCGATGTACAGTCTTCCCTTACCTCATATAATCCCCATTGGTACACTCTTAAAGGGCTAGCCAATCTGTTCACCAAGGTATATTGATGCGATCTTATAATCTATGATTAGATTCATATTTAAACCACACTCCTTGCTCTATTGTTTGGAAAAATCAAAATCCCGATCTATCATTGCCTGAATCACTGCTTGGTGATTTTGGCCTGTCCGAAGAGGGATTCGTTGAGACCAATCCCCCCTGTTTTGAATTCAAACGGCGGGTTTTTCACCAAAAGCTATTGGAATTTTCGGCTTTGCCATCTGAAAATAGGGCTACCCCATTCCATCCAGTTGTTTGTTTAAACCCTCATGTTTATCCCATGTTTTTCGGTGCCATGGTGCTGAATCCCCCAAGCTTTCAGGTTTTTCAGCCGGCAGCACCTCGCGCAGTGCAGCCGCCACTTCAGCATCTTCCGAGGTGCTGACGATCCAATGCGAAGGGACGCAGGTGGCTTTTTTGGTCCTGCGACAACGGCTGGTCATGAGGGAGACAGGGACATCCCAAGGGGGACCAAAAAAGAAGAAAACCAAGGGACACCAAGGGCCACCAAGGGCCACCAAGGGCCACCAAGGGGGGAGTCGTTATGGCGTTCTTGGGAAGTCGTTGAATATTGGGGGGATGGGACTCATATGAAAGTCGACCCAGTCGGCGTTCATATCTTTTCCATCTTAGGGGAGGTCACTGCAGAGCTTTGACGAACACCGGATGAGGTGATGGGATTTGATAGATGGGGTATCGGATTGTAGTATTCCTATGTATTTCTGGTATTTCAGAGTTTGAGAGGGAAAGAATAGGTTACAGCAACAATGGAATTCGTTGGGCATCTTCAGCACTAAAGTGGAAGATCTCTCCTAGAATATCCAAGTGGAAAAGGACCTTCAAGCAAGAGATGTAAGAACATGTAAAAATAATAGAACAGCAAAGGGATGAAAGCGGCCAAGGAGTGCAACGCTGGACTTTTTGGCCCTTGCCATAATTCTAGTGAATCATATATATATAATCATATATATATATATACATCAAATAGAATAAAACCGAGATTATGAAAATCACCAAATAGAGTGCAACACCGGCCCCGCAGCAATAAATCAGGTACTGGTACTGCCCTCAAAATCGGAAGTGGATGGTGAATGAAAGTGGATCAGATTGGGTACAAAATTGTGAAGCTTGAAGGCATCAGATGCAAGGTATTGCTCGAGCGTGTTTGAGCTTGACGAAGAAACAAAGATGTTGCTAACTTCGCCCCAATGAGGGAGGCGAACAATCCATGCAGGGTGCTTTGAAGTAATTTAGGGCTGAGTACTAGCCGCTTTGGCTGTGGTTTGCGTTTGCCTGTCAGTTCGCCCATCACATGTTCCCTCACCAGCGAGATGAGGTTGCCTCAGAATTTGGAACCAAAGGCTGGAATTTCAACTATCGGTCATGAGAAGCTACGCCAAGGTCGATGGCCACCAGTTGATCCGAATTTTCTCGCTGATTACCAATTGCATCCCTATGATTCCTGTTTCTTGGTATATTCATTCATAGTGATAGATTATTAGAACCAGTGAAGACTACACCCCCGGAGAACTAACACCGAATCCGCCTAGAAATGGTTTTCAGAGGCTTTAGATGGATGGGGTTGTGGACCCGTGGACCCCAAATGTGATACTTCAGTCGCCCCAAAAAACCGAGGAAACTATCAGGATTTCTGTGTTTCACACCTCAATTGATGGTTAACTCCCACTTTTTGATGGTTTAGACCATGGTTAGACCATTAGACCATGGTCATCCACCCCCCCAGCAATCTCCGGTGGACCCCTGCCCTCCTCTCCAATGTCGTCGGATCTCGCAAGAACTCTAACTCCACTTCCAGCTGAGAAGGGCCCGCCATATCATCATCCTCCAAAGGGGAGATTAAGCCCCAAAGAAACCAAAGTTATGGAATTTTCATGGGATTTTAATGGATGTTGATGGATTTTAATGGATTTTAGTGAGATTTCATGGGTATGATAGCCCACAATAGTCGATTTATCAGTAATATAGGGACCCATGATTGTAGAAGAACGCCAAAGACAAACCAAGATCATGTCTATATCTAATGGTTACTAAGTTACATCCAGTCTTCTTGCTGCTCCACCTCAACAAAGCTTGTGTATATGCAGAGAATCAGAAGCAACGAACCTGTTGTCGGATATCTCCTCATTCTTGTTCTTGGCTATTTACATCCCGTTTTCGTTGCCGATAGCATTTACCCCCATTTTGTTGATGTAAATTCCAGTTCTTGTTGGTCAAAACTCACTTTCTGTTGGTCAACCCCCTATTTCCTTTGAAGTCCCCAATTTTAACAAGCTTCAACCATCACTTAGCGTTACATACCCATTTTTTGAACCCCATCGGAATGTGGGTCGAGTCTGCCTCTTTGTTGGCTGAAGTCCTATGCTTCGTCGCATCCTTTTCTCAGATGGGGGTTGATAAAGAAAATGATGTGGCTCGGGTGGTTGCATGTGGTTACCTATGCCAAAATGCTTTGAATATCTTTGAACAAATATATGAATTACTTATGGGAATATGATGATCAGGATTAGTTAAAGATCCCAGTTTGAATATAATGATTAGTAATATTATGGATTAATTATGGGAATATGATGATCATGATCTTAGTTTGCCCCACTCTTCACTGTCCTTGTACTGAACCCCCAAGACCACCGCTTCTTCGGGCTCCGGTGACTTGTAGCGATCTGGCTTCACGCCTGCCTCTCATGCTGGCGTCCAAATGTGGCGACAGAAACAAGAATCTTCAAGCCATTTCAAACCACGCATATTGGATAAAATTGGAATTATGGGGGATTTTCATGCATGAAACTTAGCCAAGAATTGAACTAATTATATATATGTATTTGCAACTGAATGGTTTTGTGGGCAAATCCCAACTCTTTGTCAGATCTCCCGAAAGTTTGCGGTTTAAACCCTCCATCTCAGTTCATTTCTTCTATTTCGGATGGAATTCTCCTATTTTAGAGGTTGAATCGCCCGTTTTTCGTTGGATTTCATTGGGTTATAGTTAAGTCTCTCCCTTTATGATCTTTACGTTGGCCAAATGAATTATATCCCAACTTTTTTGACTTCTGGTTTGAATCAAGTTGAATCCCGATTTTTCTTCTTTAATCAAATGCATGTTTTCATCAGTTGAACCTCGTTCAACATCGTTGAACCCCACCATTTTTCTCCAGGTTTTCCCAGTTTTTTGGGGCTCAGGAAATCATCAAAATCTCCCAACCAGGGGCACATAGAAATGCGCCAGCACGCGCGCCCCAATGGCCACCCCCGCCATGCTCAACGTGTCGCGCCGCGTCTCCGCCACACGCCGGCGGCGTTGCTCAAAGAGCTGCTGGATCTCAGGTGCAGCTGGGGTGGGACGATGATCCCATCGGAAAAAACTTAGGGATTTCACCAAAAAACATGGAAAACCATGGGGAAAAATATGGATAAAATATGGCAAAAACTGAAAATTCAGCCACAACGAAAATAGAATGCTATATTTACTGTAACCAACCAAAAACCAGGAATTGAACCTTTTAACCAGCATAAACCAACATAACATCGCCACATCAACTTGGGAGTTAGTTATCTAACCAACATTCCACCAACCTTAAAACAATGTGGATCCAACCAAGCAAAAATGGGGATTTGGTCTGGAATGGGAGCCCTACTGACCACTGCTATTGAGCGCAGGATTTGCCCAAGAAATGTGTCACTTAAATTGGGTACATCAGCCAGGATGATATTGGACCATGGAGATCTCATTTGGGGGTGGGTAAATCCGCTATATCACCAAGCGCTTGATAATTGGGATGAAATGGGGATACTTCAATCGGGTGGCAATCGCTTACTATGATGAAACACATGGAAACTCCACCATACCCGGAAGCCCAAGCGTTGCGCCGCAGCTCCGACATGCTCCAGGTGAGATTACCTATTGAATCTATTGATGATCTCTACCCTCTGGTAATTTAACATAGCTATTGAAAATGACCATTTATAGTGGATTTTCCCATGAAAAATGGTGATTTTCCATAGTTATGTAAACGTTTACCAGAGGGTAACCCAAAATGTTGAAGCATGTTGAAGCCCTGTTGCCTCTCCAAACATTTCTCAACTCTCTAGAACTCTGGTGGCACCTCTGGTGGCACAGCCATCACTCCCCGGAACTTGAGGATTTTGATGCGAGCGACCCCACCCATGCGGCCAACAAAGTCTTGAAACTCCGACAGACTGATTTCACCTGGAGCCCCCGGGTTTTAGCACCCCCTGGTGCCCGGTGATGGAAAAGCATAACTGATGGAAAGGGTCGAAAAGCCAAAAACATCCAAAACCCACAAAATATATGGAGTTTATGTGTCAATCAACATCTAGCAGAATCTAGCACCATGTCTCAGGATCAAAAAAGTTGAAGCCAAATAATTAGGGAAGAACCAGTGTCTGCGGAATCCAGTAAGAAGACAAAACACAACTCACCTGCAAGTCCTGAGGGTCCCTATCATGGTGGCAAGTGGGTGTCTGAAAGTAAAAATGAAACTGGGCTGATTTGAGGGAAACTCCACTGGAAACTCCAACTATATAGGAGCTGCTTGCTGTGGATTTTACCTCAAAGTTGTTCTTTCACTTTCGGTGTCGCATCAGGCAAACTTCTTGTGGAGGCAGAATGGATGCAAATGACATCTCAGCTATCCAAAATTCCAGCAGCTGGTTCCGTGAAAAGGAATGATTGTCTAAACGTCAATCCATAATAATCTAAAAGCTAAACGTCAAATCCATGATCTAAAGGCTAATTCGCAGATTTTTTGTAATTTCGAGGCATTCAGCCCTAGACAGCCCTATTTCCTTGGCAGCACCCAAATATGGATAGCAGTACGCTGACTCAATGTGTTTCCACAGATCTCCCAAATTTCTTAGGTGACATGGTATGCAGATGTCCAAGCAAACTAAGCCTATGATAATTGCACTGTTTTGTCGTTCTCAATGACACTACATTACTTTAACAAAAAAATGCAAACAACCTGTCAAAAAAAATGGACAAATATCAAGTAGCACCGGGGTATTCCTGTAACATGTTCCTTCAATTCGTGGAGAAATCCATCGGCTGATTTCTCATCATTTACCTCAAACTTTTGGAGAATTCATGGGGGAACTTTCCCCATTTCAGGTACCGCACCGAAATACATCAGATTGTTGTGTTATTATCATATATATATACCGTGCGTATTTATATATATATACATATGTGTACATAATATATTAATATATGTACATATCTGTGTATATATATACATTATCATATGAACATGTATATTATTATATGAGTATGTAAGTATATCATTATCCCATTATATTCTATGAAATATCAACAATAATTTCCCATGTTATCCTATTTCCAGCTCATATGGTGATTATCTGTCATCAATGATGTTCATAGATATATATATATATGTTCCTAATCATCGCCTATAGTATATGATTTCCACCTGGTGGTTTCAACCCCTCTGAAAAATCATGAACTTCGTCAGTTGGGATGATGAAATTCCCAATACCCTCTGGTAAACTAACATAGCTATTGAAAATGACCATTTATAGTGGATTTACCATTAAAAATGGTGATTGTCAATAGTAATGTTAGTTTACCAGAGGGTATATGGAAAGTCATAAAATTCCATGGTTCCGAACCACCAACCAGTATGGATACATGATAATCTCACCTAAAAAAAATCATATGACCGCCTTTGCCCGCCGTCGCGCACCGTCAGTGTTGTGATCTAAATCTTTGGGGTTGACATCAACACCCAGGTAGGCAGCCAGGCGCCTCATTGCCCACGAGTCCGTTTCGAATGGGATTTCATGAGGATTTGAAATGCTTAAAACATCTTAAAACTATGGCTTTCAGTTGAAACATGTAAATGCAATAAAAGCAATTTCAGGGGGGTTTAATGGCGAATGTCCGAGAAAAACTATTGAACACATTTAAAAACTGATAACCGAGAATGAATAGATCCAACAAGAAACAAGAGTTTTCCAATGGGCATTCAATATGTGTGGAAGGGGATTATAAATGTGTGTATAGTCCCGATATCATGTATGGTACAATGTTACAATCACTTAACCCTCGAAGCCTGGGCGCAAACCCCTTGCTTCGTTGTTCGCCAGGATTCCGGGGTAATTGGTTCATCTCTGTTTCAACATTGCAAAAAACAACAAGTTCTCAGCAAACACCCCGGCAATCTACTTACAGACTCCACAAAACCCTAAGATTTGTAGGTTTTCGGTTTAACCACATCCAAAACAACCAACGTCCAAAACACCTATCTTGCCAATGTTTTTGGATTCAGATTCCAGTTTCCAGTTGGTCCATTTTCCTCCATTCCACGGCTAACAACTCAATTCACAGCGATTCACACCAACCAAGAATATTACTCAGTGCAACACGGGTTTGTCTGAGAATAGGGTACTCCTACCCTCTGGTAATTGAAAATGGCGATTTATAGTGAGTTTTCCCATGAAAAATGGTGATTTTCCATAGTTATGTTAGTTTACCAGAGGGTAACTCCAATGGTTTGCCATGGTTTTCCTTCCCTTTTTCTTTACAGTTCCATGGTGGTCCAATGATGATCATTGGTTATACCTGGCTAACAACCGCATTTCAGTATGGTTCAATTAATATACCCATTTCAAATGATCTTTACAACCCCATCAAAAAACCCTATCTTCAAACACATTCAAACACCATCAGACACTCATTAATATTCTTCGTAATGAATAGGTCCCACAAAAAATTCCATGATCTCCCCATGATCTCCCCATGATCTCCGGAGTTTTTTTTTCATCACCATGCCGGGTCGCATCCACCAACAAAAATCTCCATGATCTTCCCACGATCTTCCCATGATCTTTACCATTATTTTCCCATGATTTCCTCATTATCCCATTATTTCACCATGATCTTCCCATGATTTCCCCATCAAACATATCCCGCTTTCCCCAGCCAGGTCACATGATCTCGGTTTCATCTAGATGTTTGGATTCGTCCATATCAAAACGTCTGAAGGCCGTTGAGATCCGCGTCATGTCGGTGTTCAAACCCGTGGTCACACGAGCTAAACAAACCTGGCATGTTTGGGTACACGGAAGTTGTTTGACGTTGGGGATGGAACTTGATTTTGTTTGGGGATGGAAACCAGTTAGAACATGTTCTAATCATAATATCTATTTATATATATATATATATATGGCAAAGTTAATAGAAGCTATACATGAATTAGAATCCTATATTTCAAAAACTGGGATGCACATCCAAGTGGAGATCACGGGGGATGAAGTCTTTCAAAATGTGGAAAGTGGATGGACAGATGGAAAATTTGAACCAAAGGGGAGGAGACTTCAATTTTTGGATTTAGAGATGATACTTTTAGGCTTGATTATCGTTGAATTATAGTTATTTAGTTATTAGCTATTTAATCCAACTATGTGTTCTTGAATCAATCCAATAATTTATTTATAGAGGCTTATTAAGCCCCATTGTTGGGGGGGTCCCTTTGGCGAGGTACCATTCGATTTGCATAATATCTTTACAGGCACTTGTTCATGGAAAGTTTCCACCAACATCATTCACCTGAAGACCAGCCTTCATCAAGTGAAACCATCAACCTCCGCAGAATATGATAGCGCGCACTTCTGACATTTTTTAGGGATCGCAGTGAAGTCATTAAACTCTACCCATTTTCTAACACCAACAAGACACCATTTACCATTGGCGAATCTTTCATACTAAACATAACAGCGTCAATATAGTTGTATTACATATCCATACATATCCTATGTCGTCACAATTCGTCACATGTCAAGTTTTTCACCCATCATAAGCCTACACGGTCGACCCTGGGTGAACCACTTGGATCGACTTTCGGTCCCCATGGGTCCCCTTTCGCACCTTGGCTTCCGCTACTTTGGAATCGGCCAAGAGTTGTGAGCAGCGACTCACCCAACCTGGGACGCCCCTTGGTCGTTTTAGCTCCCTAAAGGTAGGAATGATGGCGGAGACCTGGCTGGCCATTCTAAGTGGCTCTGTTGAAAAAAGGGATACCCAAAAGAACATTTAAAAAAACCATAAGAACCCATAGTTTATCAATGTTTATCATCATTTACCCAATGAAAATTGACTTTACTTGCCACTAATGCAGTAAATCCCATGGTGAAAATTCGCCAAAAACCAACGCCCGTGAGTTCAGCAACCGTGCAAGGGATGTCGAACATGGGCTGTCTGTGGATTGAGATACTTGTGCTGCTCTAGCAACTCCTGGCCACTGATGATGGCTACGCTGATTTTTCAGTATCACTAGTTTTGTTGAATTATGAGTAAGAATGATATTATACATACTCTATTGTCAGTACCAATTTATCACAATTATATCATCATTTCAAATAATTTATCTATAGACTACTATAATTTTTGTTGTACTTATGGGCCAAATCGTGCTTTAAATTATTTTTAAATAAAGGTCGAACGGAACAATGGGAGGAACTTGGGACGATGCCCCCGTTTTTTTGGTGCCCTGGGATTCCTTGGGGTGTCTCTACTTGGGATCCGAATCCTCAGTTTTAAGTGATGGTCAATATTGGTCAATGCAAAGAGGTTTGCTTTTTTTAAGCCAAGTCTTTGAGGATGAAATCATCATGCAAACTCTTTGATGATCAAGCAATAAGAGGTGGCGGACGTATATTTTTACACCAATCATATTTGATGGTAAAACCCGTTGAGAGCCTCGATCCCAAATAGATCAAGTGGTGGCTTCATGAACATCACAGACGGCTCAAAATTGAGGTATCAATGAGGCCACAAAACTGGTCATGGTTGGTTAAAATATAAGCTATTTCGGGGTTGACATGTATAAATGTTCAACATAATTCAACCATTCTCAGCGATGTTAGCTCATTTTTTACAGCATCCAATTATATGCATCAATCCATCATGAATCGTATCGTAAACCATCATATCCATCTTCCACCCATGATTTTTCAATCACCCCTCCACCCTGGCACCCGTTAAATCCGTCCCCATTTGCCCATGGGATGCCGTGGGTCCTGCAATTCCTTTGCCACTGCTGTGGCTTCAGCGCTGCCAGATTCCGTCACCTGGGTTGGCTTACCCCAAGGTGGGTGGTAAATGCGTCATAAATGGCTGGTTGATGTAGAAGGTTGAATAGTTGGCTTAGCGGCTTGCTTCTTGCAAACGTTTAAAATGCTGTGGAGAAACCGATGCCATCCACCCGATATTAAATACCCCCATATGAGCCCTCAATCTGAATTTGGCCGGTACTGTGAAGCGTGGCTTTCTGGAGAGTATTTATAGTAGGTGGGAGGGATTACCATGAAACATTTTGTCCAATGGACACAGTCCAAGCAACAAAGACCACAACTGAAATGCGTTGCTTTCTCATGCTCTCGCCATCGATATATTTCTCCAAACTTGGTGTGGATGCTAGTGTGCTCTATTCTATCAAACTTAAGACCAAATCATCACTGATGCATTACCATGAGTTACCTTTGTCTCCCTGGGCCTCAGTCTGTACCCACTTCACCTATCTCCATCTATAAGTTCACGCATCTGTATGCATCTGTCTATTTGTTTGTCTTTCAATCCATCTCTTCTGTCTCATCCATCCCTCAGTCACTCCATCCATCCAATGCTGCAATTCCTTTCTGTCAACTCAAATTCCATGGTAATGTCATGTCTGACTGAGTGCACCAACTAGATCTGTCTTCAAATGGATGAATGATGAATTTGTCCGACACATGCCTACCTCCATGGAATTAATCCCTTGTTTTCAAGAATATGTTTTAGAAAGTCCTGTTCACCATGTGTTTCGGATCGGGTGAGCGCTTGACAGAAGAGGCCAAGTGACTGTTTTGAGCACCGGCACGGGGTCCACATAGCTTCTTGGCGTTTCCAGTGCAAGCACATGTGGCACATTTGGTAGAGCAGGAACCGTCTTTGGCTCCTCAGGCTTGGCATCAGGCTTGGGCTCATCCTTCTTTTCCTCCGCCTTGGGCTCTTCAGGCTTGGCATCAGGCTTGGGCTCATCCTTCTTTTCCTCCGCCTTGGGCTCTTCAGGTCTTGGCATCAGGCTTGGGCTCATCTCTTTTCCTCCGCCTTGGGCTCTTCACTTGCTTGGCTCTTCACTTGGCTTGGCTCATCAGGCTTGGGCTTTCCTTCCTCCGCCTTGGGCTCTTCAGGCTTGGCATTTGGGTTGGCATCCTTGGGCTCATCCTTCTTTTCCTCCGCCTTTGGCTCTTCAGGCTTGGCATCAGGCTTGGGCTCATCCTTCTTTTCCTCCGCCTTGGGCTCTTCAGGCTTGGCATCAGGCTTGGGCTCATCCTTCTTTTCCTCCGCCTTGGGCTCTTCAGGCTTGGCATCAGGCTTGGGCTCATCCTTCTTTTCCTCCGCCTTGGGCTCTTCAGGCTTGGCATCAGGCTTGGGCTCATCCTTCTTTTCCTCCGCCTTGGGCTCTTCAGGCTTGGCATCAGGCTTGGGCTCATCCTTCTTTTCCTCCGCCTTGGGCTCTTCAGGCTTGGCATCAGGCTTGGGCTCATCCTTCTTTTCCTCCGCCTTGGGCTCTTCAGGCTTGGCATCAGGCTTGGGCTCATCCTTCTTTTCCTCCGCCTTGGGCTCTTCAGGCTTGGCATCAGGCTTGGGCTCATCCTTCTTTTCCTCCGCCTTGGGCTCTTCAGGCTTGGCATCAGGCTTGGGCTCATCCTTCTTTTCCTCCGCCTTGGGCTCTTCAGGCTTGGCATCAGGCTTGGGCTCATCCTTCTTTTCCTCGGCCTTGGGCTCTTCAGGCTTGGCATCAGGCTTGGGCTCATCCTTCTTTTCCTCCGCCTTGGGCTCTTCAGGCTTGGCATCAGGCTTGGGCTCATCCTTCTTTTCCTCCGCCTTGGGCTCTTCAGGCTTGGCATCAGGCTTGGGCTCATCCTTCTTTTCCTCCGCCTTTGGCTCTTCAGGCTTGGCATCAGGCTTGGGCTCATCCTTTTTTTCCTCCGCCTTGGGCTCTTCAGGCTTGGCATCAGGCTTGGGCTCATCCTTCTTTTCCTCCGCCTTGGGCTCTTCAGGCTTGGCATCAGGCTTGGGTTCATCCTTCTTTTCCTCCGCCTTGGGCTCTTCAGGCTTGGCATCAGGCTTGGGCTCATCCTTCTTTTCCTCCGCCTTGGACTCTTCAGGCTTGGCATCAGGCTTGGGCTTATCCTTCTTTTCCTCCGCCTTGGACTCTTCAGGCTTCGGTTGGCTTTCAGGCTTTGGTCTTTCTAAATCGTGCCGTGTCTTTGAGCTCGTAGCAACTTCAGGCGGCCTGCGGAGCAAGGGTGCCCTCAGCAATTTCAGCAGCAAATCTGAACCGCGGTCAAGGGAGGCCAATCCCAATCGTTAGGTTGCTATCTTGAGGGATCACAATCTCATACCAAATGTCATATACGGCAGTTTGATCTCCGATCAACCACCATTTCATTGGGTAACTCCCAAATTCACTGTGGTTTCCTGATTCTTGATGGCCCACCCAACCGCCCGACCTGTCAGGTGATAGGCGCAACATCAAGGCTGTAGAGTTGACAGCACCTGCGAATGGTGCTGGCGACTAGTGACTACTGCCGGAAATTTAGGGCCCAGAAAACCCGCTTTTGACCAGCATCAGTGTGCAGTTGCGTTGGTATCTAGACCAAAATTGTCGGGATGCCCGCAAGGGTGAGATCTCACCATCACGCAGGAATCTGAGCAAAAAGAGTGAGAATTGAACTGTAGGACTGTTTGGATTTGAATGATTTTGATCAATTTGAGGATTGAAGCCGTGGATGGACCATCAATAAGGACAATATTGTCCAAACGATGGGAGAGCGCCAGTGGCATTGATTTTGCCTGTGCCGAAACGAGACTAACTACCTGTATCCACCGGCAGATTGTGGGCCCCCAAGTGGTGTGGGCAACTGGTCCAATCTCAGGATTGCCAAACATCCTCGGATCATTTCTCGTATATATATATATATATAATTTATATACACATATACAATCATATACACACATATATATGGTTCCGAATTCCCAAATTGGTGGTGTGCCGATCATGCAGCTCGCACCTGCATGTACAGCATACCAAAGTGGACTTCGATCCAAATAATCCACCTATCAGCAGCATGAGATGCAGCTTGATGTCTCAAGATCTTGGGGACCCAACTCTGTGACCGAAGAGCTGGTGCCAGCTTCTCGAATTACTGAGCCATCAAACAAAAGACTTGGCTCAACATCTGGGCAAGTTACATCAAATTGCGATATGGATCTATATGGGTATTTCCTGAAATGGGGGTAGCCCTAAATCACCTATTCAAATGAGATCTTCCATGATAAACCATCCATTGATAGGGGTATCCCTATGAAAAACCCCATATTTCCCAACTCAGAACGAAGCCTTTCACCTTCAATGAGAGGCCTCTGCCCTGCTGTGATACTCGGTGCCTGGTGTGCACAACACTTCCCCAGCAACAAGGTATTCCTCAGCTTGGTTCGGTGTCTGTTGCAGCTTCCCAACTCATCAATCTTAGCAATGGGGTTGACTGTTGAAGGCCCATGTTGATCAAACTTTGGTCCAAATTTGGGGTATCCGCCACCAAGAGGCAAGATCTCCCACTGCTCCTCTGGTACGGGATTGCCCAAAGCATAGTACAGAGGATTGCGACCCAGCTTGTCCTCCAGCTGACCATGTGATCAGTTGTGCCATGGTCAAGTTACATGAGATTCAAGGGGTATGGCCATTCATCCTGGAATGGGAATCCCTATAATGGGTATATAAGACCCTACGGAACCCAAGTACATAGTCTATTGATGACCATCGCCAGAATGCGTACAGTATACGATCTAACCTTGAACCATGGCACACTTCATCTACAATCCGAGCTTTGGAAGATGATTTTTCATTGGAGAAGCACTGGTATTTTGCTTTCAAACGATTCTTGTTAGAGATCATCCCCTGATGCGCCTCGCCTTGAAATCGGCATGGAAAGACCAGTTTTGGTAATCGTCATCCCAAAGAGGAATGCAACAGCCACCTCCATTGAAACTTAGGATGATTCAAACATATTCAAACTAATAACTGATAGGTGGTGATTGTGTTACCACATGTTATCAGTTGTTAGTTCCTTACGTATCTCGTATCTTGTTGGTAACACAATCACCACTCAGTTGACGCTCAAAAGCTGCTGGATAGCCCCCAGAGACCCGGCTCGGATCGGCCCAAAAAGTTTAAAAGACCTGAATGTGCCATGGTCAAAACATGTCAAAGGATGGGCACATGGATGGTTATGGTTATGGTACATATGGTTATGGTATGTTATGGTTATGGTATCCCATAGACATCTGTTGGTATTCCTTGGGTTATGGTTATGGTTATGGTGACCCACCAGTCGACTCCAAAAAATCGTAGTGGGATGACCCTTGTCCCAATAAAATCCAATGAGTTGATCATGGTTTATCCATGGGTTTATCTAATTGGTTGATGTTGATTTTTTAGTTGGTTAGTGTTAAACAAATATCCCAAGTAATCCCAAGTATTAATTACCAATTGGATCCAATTGGTATCTGTATCCATCATTATATCATATATCTATCCAAAAATCCCAATGACTATCCCATGAAATCCTATTACTTGCTCGGTCAAATCTTCATCGTTTTGACAGTCCCAGCCTGAGAATGTAGAAGCTCAGGTTGCACGTGCAGCAAGAGCTGCAAGACTTGCGACTTGCTACAACAAGCCTGGGGCTTATGAGGTGCCCCGTTCCGCCATCAGTTGGTCATGTTGTGGTTCCAGAAAAAAAATAAACCTATCAATTTGCACATCAACTGCAATGAAATCCTATGAATGTAGGCTTTGAAACCAAAACCTGCTATGAAATCCAATGGGAACTTGGCTGCTTGATTGTTTGACTGCGACTTCAAAGACAATCGTAGCATCCCCTGATGTTGGGCATTGTTATGAGTCATGGGAGACATCAGCCCGCACCAAAATGTACGTTCGATCAAGCCACCAAATGGAGAGCATTCCTGAAAGCGCTGGCACCATGGGCACCATGATTCATTTGGATTCACCGAATATCTTTAGTAATTAGAGTTTACTTGTCCGGTGATTGGAGCAAACAAGCATGATCATGTCAAACGCACTGACCACCAAACCGCCTCAACCAAGCCCAAACTTCCCCCAGCTCCATCCCAACCCTATTAAACCAGTCTTCATTAGTCAAGACCGCTATGAAATCCCCAGAATTATCCAACATGCACATCTGCCACTTCCCTCTCACATCAGCCCCCAAGCCCCCAGGTTTGTGCTGGCTTACCATCATGTTTCCCCTATGTTCATTTACTGGATTGGTTAAAGGTATTTGTTCCTACCGGGTGATCGGTGTCAATTTCCCTCATGTCCCAATCCATTGGTGGAAAAATCCAACACCCCAACCCCCCAACCCCAACCCCAATGGCCCAATGGTCCAACCCCCGAACTCCCACCCCAGAAAAATTCTGAAAATTCCAAGGTTCCTTCCTTTGGCATCGCAGCTCTGCACCTGTTTTGAAGCCGACGAGGTGCCCAGCAGCCGCCGCACCACGCCAGCGTGCCCGTGGAGGCTCGCCAGCATCAGCGGGGTGGCCAGGGGGGGACCTCCCACAAGGGGCACCCGAGGCGTGGAAAATGCGTGGGAAACGCGTGGATGGATGGGTCAGAAATGGTCGAAAAATGAGAAAATTCAGCTTTGACCTGAAATTGATGGAAAATGATTGAAGATGGCTTGGAAGAGGCTTGGAAGTTGACCAAGCCTGGAAACAGAATCAACATGAAGCCGCCGGCCCGCCTGACGTGCTAAGGGCATCCGCTTTCTTGCGGAGGAGCAAATCACAGACCTGTCGCAACGCTCCACCCGGGCACCTGGGTGCCCCATGTAGGGTGCCTCTTGTAGGGTGCCGGTGAGATAGATTAACATTTGGATCGAAAATGCGGGATACCGGGTGTTCACCGGGATACCCCGAATCGCCATTTTAAGTGGGAACTTTATGATACACCACTGGATTTGGGGTACCCAATTTTCAGATAACCCCATAATGTCAATAACCTTATGTACTGAAGGCATCAGAAGGCATCGTTCCTTTGAACTGTCCAGCAAATTCCACAAACATTTGGCACATGTGTTCGTTAAGTTAGGTTGGTAGTATTAATATTTATGTTTCAACAAATGGAAAGGCTTACCACCAACATCTGTGGGCTGATTGATCTGATTTTTGACCCATACCGAGAGCAAGCAACTCATATTAGATTGTTCTGGTCAGCTGAAACCCAATTTCTTGGAGTTCAAACCGCTGGTGATTGCTGTTCATGAGGTGGCATATCCATGTTCTTCATCTTTGTTGGTTTAACCCTCATTCTTGTTGGTTGGCCCCTTCTTGCCCCAACAACAAACATGCCCCCAAGAAACCATGCTTTATACATGGGGTGTCTCCTTGCTCTTCTGAGGGATGGCATCCCCTTCATTTTTGCTGGCTCCACACCCGCTTTCCCCTTCATTTGGGCAAAGTAGATCAATTCCGAATATGAATTATATTAACCATATATTAACCATATATTAACCATATATTAACCATATATTAACCATTATTAAATGTATATTACCACCAACCAGCCACATGAATTCTCAAAACTGCCAAGGGGAACCCCTTTAAACTGGGCCCCTAGAGTCCCTCCCTTAAGAGCCACCTCCAAATGCCCCTGCCGTGCTGCCCAGTGCAGAGGCGTGCGATCGTCAAAGTCTCGAGACGCCAGAACGGAGGCGACATTTTGCTGGTCCAGCTCTGCTTGATCCTGAGTTATCTGAGTTTCGGGGGAAATTGACCAGCTATAGAGGTTACCAGCATGGTGAAAATCATGTTGAATCCAACAAGAAATATTTCATGGAGATTCAACCAGCAGAAATTGCGATTTGACCCGCAAGAATGGAAACTGTGATTTGACCATAACTTGGAATCTGACCAAGAAACCTGATCAAGCATGCAGACTGACCAGCAAAAAGAAAGACTTATTTCACAACAATTGTGGGTGTGTTTTTTCAAACATGGGCATTGAACCATTCAAAAATACATTTCTTAAAAATTAAAATTGAGAGGAGACCCATAAGTTTGGCCACATAATATTGTATCTAGAACTTGATCAGTGGCGCAGTATCCTGCCTGTTACTGGAAGAGTTTCCCACTCCATGGATGATACCCCAACGAAAAACATGCATGTAGTGGGATACCCCTATCACCACCAACGAAAAAACATGAGTTGTTTGTTTTGTGCAGCTCAGTTGAAAGCACTGGTCAAGTGTCAAACCAGCAATTGAAAGTACCCTGGAAGTCTCACCAATTCATGGATCATTTTCATTCATTTTCCAGAAAAATGATCAAAGCTTGTCCAATGGACAAGCTCAGCATTCTACTCCGTTTGCCAAAGTTCAAGTATGCCTCGGACTTGCAGCACATCACCTGGGAGAATCATCCCATCAAAAGGGATGCAGTCCCAAAGAAATGAGACCACAACCACCCATATCATACCAACCCGCAATTTGCAGGCAAATGTCCAAATTTCCAACAGATATGCATACAATATATATATACATATTATATAATATGTACAGTATATATATATATACATATGTATATACATACAGTATATATATATATATGCCCATGGGTGGTATATAAATCCTCCAAGAATGGTATAGGTTTATGTCATTGTGTTTCCCACATTAATCCATTTCTTTGGTCAGGTCAGCTATATGTTGGAACTGCTGACAGTCTATCAGAAACTATTGGGGAGTTTTGGTGGGACTATAACAAAAAACTGCAGAAACGATTGGGAAAATTGTGATATAATATGATATAAGTTATATCCCATAAACTATCCCCATTACAGTCCCATCATGTCCCATATCATACGATCCCCGCCTTTGGCTGCGGCATCCAACAACATCTCTCCCAGCAGTGGCTCACTGATGAGGTCGTTGTGACTTGCGTAGCGACGTCCTACTGACTGAAACCCGGAAGGGAATATCTTGTAATAATTTGCATAATGTTAGTAAAGCAATAGGATCCGAATGGATCCGAATTTTACAATAATTTTACCATGTTTATGGGTGGTTACCATCAAAATACGGTCGGTTTATGGCATGCAAACATTAAGTTCCACATAAAAAGTATATATAAGAAAGTAGTAACAATCACTGAAATCTTGTTTCAAGATTTGTCCCTCGCGCGGATTCAACATGATTCAACCAGCCTAGGAACATAGCGCATAGAAATGGGGATCTTCGAGCACCGCAGTCCTGTCGAGTCCCAGTTCACCGGGAGCTTTGGCGGAACTGTCTCCCAGTCTCTGCTTTGGGGCGACTTGTCCTGCGACCCGACGGCTGCGGTGAAATTTTGGGTCGGACCAACCCAGGTCGGACCTGGGTCGAAGATGGAGGGTTTCTGTTTTCCACTACCCTGGCAGTTTCAAGGACTGTATTCCATCTCACTTTTGCGTCCGTTCTGGCCCTTCCCAGCCATCCTGAGGGATCGAAACTTGTCGCTTGATCCGCCTCACTCTCATATACCGAGGATTACCGAGGTATGATTAGTCATTAACAATTATGCCAAGTTTGGGATAGTTGCCCCTACATTCCGGTGACGTCGCAGTGAGGCGCTTAAAATTTTATCTATAGATATATCATAGTGTATCTAGCTATGCTTTTATCACCCCCAACCCCACTTGGGCTGGGGTCCTGTCTGCTCAGTGATGCTGAGGCGGACGGGGGTCTCCGTCCCGCTTCCGAAGAAACGCCGCGCGTGTTTTCTCCTCGCTGGGCTTTGGAGACGGGACTCAACTCCTGCGCGAGGACTCGAAAATCTCCATTGTTAAGAATCATAACACCCCCATTTACAAAAGAACACGACATTGATAGTGGCAATACATGGCAATACTAAAGTAATGGTATCATTTAAGCATTACCCAAAAAAAAATACAGTTGCAACTACAGCATAAACATTCTATCTTTCCAAGGGAGTGCTATCAATGAATAAGAACGTTTAAATAGGAGAAACACATCTATTATCCATGATGTGCTCTATGATGCACCAGTATTCATAGATTTTCAATGAATGGATTTTTCCTGGAGAATATCCAGAAGGTAAGCCTAAGCGGCAAGGATTGGAACTGTGATCTAAGATCCTCCAAGAGCCTGGATCTCACACGCCACTCAGATTGTGCTTGCGCACCGGCAACAGCCGGAAGGGAGTATTCCGGGGATCAACCAATGATTGATCCATGGAATCTGGTACATTTAAATCCTATATTCATAGAATTGGATGATGGGAAAATTTACAGGTTTAAGCCCTATATTTGATGGTAAAAACCATGGTTTCCGGTTAAGATTTTCCCTTTAAACCAATCCAATGATATACTTCAATATCCTCAATGGATATTGGCGAATTGGATATGATCTCACAGGATCACATCCCAAAAAATGGAGTGTTCGAAACTGGATCTGCCGGTGATCGTGTTCTTTTTTCCTACGGCTGGTTCAACCCCCTCTACCCTCTGGCAATTTAGTATAGCCATGGAATATTACCCAGCTGCAAATGATTTACCTTCTGAACGTGGCCATTTTCCCCAGTTATGTTAGATTGCAGGAGGGTATATATGCTTTGATCAAGATACTCCAAATAGAGATCAAAGGTCGCCGACAGCACGTTTGAGAAGTGATTTGTCTTTTGTGTAGATGGGCCTAATGGATTGTGATACCCCTACCACACTGTTTATTTTTATCACATGTCATATGGTGGTTTCAACTAATCCTAAAAATTATCTTGGCAAATTGATTCAACCATCCCCATCATTTTCCATCATGTTCCATCATGTTCCATCATTTTCTAAGAAGAAAGTTTGCCAAAGCAGCAAAGTATTCCGACTTCCATCAACGAAACGGCCACACGGCTTCTTCCTCAAGGGATGAGGCTCCTGCCAGATCACGGCTTCTTCGGGAAAGCGCCGTTCGAGCTTTGCGGACCGCGTCGACCGCAGAAAGCGAGTCCTAAGGGCCCTAAGGGACGGGTCCATGGTCACTTGCGACCCTAAAAAACGGTCACTTGTGACCCTAAAATCCCCGGTCACTTGCGACCCTAAAAAACGGTCACTTGCGACCCTATTCCTTTAAAAACTCTCACCCCCCCTGCGTTCCACCATGCAATTGTCTCCACATTACAGAGAAAATCATCAACACTGATCATTACTTAGATCATTACTTGACATAGATCATTACTTGACTCAGCCATTTAGGGTTTGGTTGGGGGGGAGGGATCATTCAACTTAGATCATTACTTGACTCAGCCATTTAGGGTTTGGTTGGGGGGGAGGGATCATTCTACTTACATCATTACTTGACTCAGCCATTTAGGGTTTGGTTGGGGGGGAGGGATCATTCAACTTAGATCATTACTTGACTCAGCCATTTAGGGTTTGGTTGGGGGGGAGGGATCATTCTACTTACATCATTACTTGACTCAGCCATTTAGGGTTTGGTTAGGGGGGAGGGATCATCGTACTTACATCATTACTTGACTCAGCCATTTAGGGTTTGGTGGGGGGGAGGGATCATTCAACTTAGATCATTACTTGACTCAGCCATTTAGGGTTTGGTTGGGGGGGAGGGATCATTCTACTTACATCATTACTTGACTCAGCCATTTAGGGTTTGGTTGGGGGGGAGGGATCATTCAACTTAGATCATTACTTGACTCAGCCATTTAGGGTTTGGTTGGGGGGGAGGGATCATTCTACTTACATCATTACTTGACTCAGCCATTTAGGGTTTGTTGTTGAACTTAGATCATTACTTGACTCAGCCATTTAGGGTTTGGTTGGGAGGGAGGGATCATTCAACTTAGATCATTACTTGACTCAGCCATTTAGGGTTTGGTTGGGGGGGAGGGATCATTCTACTTACATCATTACTTGACTCAGCCATTTAGGGTTTGGTTAGGGGGGAGGGATCATCGTACTTACATCATTACTTGACTCAGCCATTTAGGGTTTGGTTGGGGGGGAGGGATCATTGTACTTAGATCATTACTTGACTCAGCCATTTAGGGTTTGGTTGGGGGGGTGGGATCATTCTACTTACATCATTACTTGACTCAGCCATTTAGGGTTTCGTTGAGGGGAGGGAACATTGAACTTAGATCATTACTTGACTCAGCCATTTAGGGTTTGGTTGGGGGGGAGGGATCATTCTACTTACATCATTACTTTAGCAGTTGAGATGGAGAGATAGAGAGATAAAGAGATAGAAAGAGAGAGAGAGAGAGTCAACATGTACAAAACACACCATGTTCGGACCGTTTTTAGAAGTTGAGGTAAAGAGATACAGCGGTAACAAGATAGAAAGGGAGAGCGAGAGAGATAGAGAGATAGATAGATAGATAGATAGAAAGATAAGATAAGATAAGATGAGATAAGATAAGATAACAAGATAGATAGAGAGAGAGATAGAGATAGATAGAGATAGATTGATTGATAGATAGATAGATAGATAGATAGATAGATAACTAGATAGGTAGATAGATAGATAGATAGATACATAGATAGATAGATAGATAGATAGATAAATAAATGACATGTAGCTTCGAAGCCCTTAAACGAAGCTTTTCTGCGAGACTTCCTACAAAAATGAAGCTTCGAAACTCAAACACAAAAACTTTTCTGCGAGACTTCCTTCAAAAATGAAGCTTCGAAGCTCTAAAACGAAGCTTTTCTACGAGACTTCCTTCAAAACTGAAGCTTCCAAACTCAAAAACCTAGCTTCGAAGCCCTTAAACGAAGCTTTTCTGGGAGACTTCCTTCAAAAATGAAGCTTCGAAGCCCTTAAACGAAGCTTTTCTGCGAGACTTCCTCCAAAAATGAAGCTTCGAAGCTCTAAAACGACGCTTTTCTGCGAGACTTCCTTCAAAAATGAAGCTTTGAAGCTCTAAAACGACGCTTTTCTGCGAGACTTCCTTCAAAAATGATGCTTCGAAGCTCTACAACGAAGCTTTTCTGCGAGACTTCCTTCAAAAATGAAGCTGCGAAACTCAAAAACGAAGCTTTTCTGCGAGACTTCCTTCAAAAATGAAGCTACGAAACTCAAAAACGAAGCTTTTCTGCGAGACTTCCTCCAAAAATCATGCTTCGGGCACGAATAGGGTCACAGGCGACCACAAAGGGGCCGCACCATTTTCGTGTGGCAGGTGTGGGACTTCGAGCACACCTGGTCACTTGTGACCCTATCTTTTTTACTTCAAAACGTAGAAACAGTGATTAGGGTCACAAGCGACCAATGTCCCTAAGGGACATTGAAAGAAAGAAATGATGATAAAGCATGAACTATCATCAAATTAAAATTAAATGATATCAATGATACCCCATTTTCACACAAAGACATGTCTGCTTTACATAGCCACATTATAACACATGGTTTTTGGTTTTTATAACACACAACAACAACCTCTCGTCCAAAAATCATGATAGTCTTTTGAAAATATGTATGCACAAAAACCGGTTATCTGATATTTATCTGTACAAAAAATGTAAATCATCATAATAAAATTCCTTATCTGCAGAGAATTCACACTTAAAGCTGTTTTGTTGCGATTTATCCATCTCTGTGCGTTGCTGAGTCTGAAACCTTGAAATTGATCGCTCATCCCACAAAGCAGCTAGCAGTCAAATGAGTTGCCTCCCCAAAATCTGGATGGTATCCACAAAAAAAACAAAAACAAAAAACATGACCTGTTTTTTCTAAGATTTCAACACTTTTCAACATATTCCAAAGCCTGTCCAAACTATTCACTACATTTCACAACCCTTCGATCGGCATTTAACCAGAAGAAACATCTCAGAGATTCCAGGCATCCGAGGGACTTGGACTCCTCCTTGGGATTCCAATAGGTTTTCCAGGGCGATTTGCTCCGTGATTTGCTCCTTGACTCTCTCCTTGGCAGCCATAGTGATAATAGGACTCATCTCGTGGAAAGGTTGTGAAGTCGTACAAATTATACTATAGATAGTGACATAAATATGGAATTTTAAACTTATCTATATATATATATATAGATTCACCTAAGCCATCTTGAGGCCGAATCGAAATCTTTGAATTGATTCCGGCAATTTCCGGCATGAGTTTGCAGAACTGCAGCACATGTTTTGCTTGAATATATAATGGATCCTGAACCCACAGGAAAGGACACAAAAGAGAACACGTTACAGATTCCACAGAATTTTGCATCTCATCTACCCAATAATTCAAGCGGCAGCCTGTTTCCATCCAGAATGCAAAAGTGCCAATTGACATCAATTGAATTCGATTGACTATGATTGACTACTCATTCAAGCCCCTCCATATATTTCATCATTGATCACCAAACAATAAACAAACGCAGTATGGGTGCAAACCATGATTAGTAGCTCATCTGCAGGTGACTGCCAAAGATTCTAACTCCAAACACTCTTGGATAATCCCTCAAGCTAGAAAATGCTATATATAATATAATATATATATATATCCACAATCTATATCAATCTATGGCAGTTCCATCTACCTTAGGACCTTTGTCAAAGCATGGTGTACGCGGCTGCTTTTCGGTATGTCTTGGTCTTGGCCATCCGTAATGGGATATCATGGGTAAATGAATATCAATTCATGCATTCATGACCAAGCACCAACAAATCAACAACTTATCCAGGTTTTATATATATAACATGTTATGTGTATATATATATATAATCATGTTGTTTGCATGTTTTAAGTATGGCACACATGGCAATTTATCCTTTACAAAACATCCAAACCAGATGTCCCAAAACCATCTTACCTCAATTTTGCTCATGTACCGCTACCATCATGATCATCCAGTTGCTCAATCCTTTCAGAATTTCACATCCCATCACGGCAAGAAAAAGAAGCGCTGTTTACGCTGTTTCAGAACTTCACTGCTTATTCTCCCAATGAAATCCAGCCAAGAAATGGATTTTCAGCCAGTGAAATCCCAATGAAAATCATGAAATCCAGCCCGAAAAACTCCTGTCCCAGTGTCGGCGAGTTAGACCTGGAACTTCTCGAACTTCTCCTGGCCCTCCGCGTGGGACTTTGGCTCCGCCTCTCCTCCGGCGCCGGCTGCGCCTCCCGCGGATCCCGCTGCGCGCGCAGCGCACGGATCACGGCCACCGGGTTCAGCGGCCCCGGGCCGTCCCGGGCTCTGCCGGGGACGGATGCGGGACCCAGCTGGGCCAGGTCGCGGAGCATGGGATCATCCCAGTCCATGGTGAGAAATGCCACTTTTAACAGGATTATACAACTGGTTGGTGGTTGACCTAGCCCTCTGAAAAATGATGGAGTGAGTAACAGTTGGGATGATGAAAATCCCAATATATGGAAAAATAAAAAATGGTCCAAACCACCAACCAGACAATATTCAACATGATTTAACAGGACTCAACATTGCGTAACCATTTGAGTCCGGTTCTGAAGTATTGAACCTTTGATTTTGGCTCATGAAAAATTGATGACTTGATGTTATTGTTGATCAATTACCTCTATGTCTATTTTCGTCGGGAAGCTATTTCCCCTGCTAGTTTTTTTGTGCGGCTGCTTCGATCTATGGAATATGCATGGTGTTGTCTCAGGTTGCTTGTGTTTCCTGATTTTGCGTCCGGATATCACATCGTTTTGAACAAGTATATCAAGACACACTGATCTGAGTCAGCTTTCCATCTCAGTCCATCTGTTGGGCCTGATGGCTGCACGCTCACGGCCATGTGGTGGACTTACTACCCCAATTCTTGGTATGGTCCACCAAGTTCATTGCAATGTTTTTGTGCTTTGTGGTTTGAAATCAGGCACCAGGTTTTGTAATTTATGAGTGGTCAAAGGAGTGGTTGGGGTCGATTCCTGTCCTTTGTGTAAGGTTCAGAGCCACATTTATATAACTATAGTAACTATAGGAAATCTGGCCCCTGGTAGATGATGGCTGGGCGGATAAAGATGCACTTTTAGCCACATCACCAATAAAAAAAGAAAGTTTTTTTTATTGGTCTTCCCTGCCCTGATGTGATCATCATGGGTAAAACCCATCCAAAATGCTGGGGAATCATACACCGATTTCGCGCGCAAGACACAACTGTACAATCCCTGGCACATCTGCAAATTCTCCGGGCAATTCGTGGTTTTCTGAAAACAAACACCAAGGCTACCAGGGATTTTGCTTACAAATGGACTTTTGATGGAGTTCTTGGAGAGCTGATCAAAGATCAACATGACAGTTATCCAAGATTTGGGGATATCTTCTCGAAATCAAATCGCTTTGGGAAAACCATGCTGTAAAAACAAGGCCTTCCCAAGATGTTTGGTTAATCTGACTGTAATGTTTGTCTAGTTAAACATGTGTTTCAACATTTTTATACAGTTCATATATGTGCGTTAATCTCCCCAATATCATCCAATATCAATGTCCATATCCATGTTGTTCCTCAAGTCCCCCCTTCATGCCTCTTGCATGCTATCTATATGAACAAAGAACTTCCGCCCGGGGCAGCTCTGACAGAGCCGCAACGATCCGCCCGACGGTATCGCCAGTGAAACCTTGACATAGCTTGACCACTGATGGCCAGGAAAAGGGGCCTATGTTTTCGTTCACCCTGTAGATCTCAGATGTCGCGCGCATTTTGGCATTGATGATATGGCAGTGTGTCAAAACCTTGTACCCCTGGTGAACATCAAAATAGCTGGTAAATGGGTGTTCATCCCATTAAAAATGGTATGTATAGGTATTGATCCATAGCCATATGGCGAAAAAAAAAACAATTAGTGGCAGGCTCCGTGGCATCACGAGTCCTTCTTGAGGTGCTAATTTTGACACTTTCCGATCTGAATCAGATCATATTTGATGGCTAAACACCAATTTTGCCAATATCAGGGCCGTGTCCCCGTACTGGAACAAACCAGTTTGGTGGTGGGAGTGCCCTAGTTTCGGGAAATATTCATATATGTTCTGGATATTCTTAGGGAAAACATACTGTAGAAAAACTATGGAAAACTGATTTCCTGCGCGGTTTTCACATCTAGCCCTGCAGGGTTCAAAGATCGACGATTCACTTTGGAAATCTATGGGCTCTGGACATCACGCCCACGAGTTTCAACCCCAAACAAACTGGGCATTGGAAATTTCTCCCGAAAAGTGTCTCCGGACGTGTCTCCTTTGGAGACGAGTCCGGAGACGAGTGACTCGTAAAGTCCGCACTGGAGGAGTGACCCGGTGAAGTTGGTGACCAGTTGTGCTGGAACTGATCTGAAGAAGTGGGCGTTTTGGGACATCTATAGGACATCTATAGGACACTAAGAGATAGATCCAAGATCCAAGGTCCAAGACTAATCTAATAAATCATGTCATAAATCACATCTATTGATGTTCCAAAGTCTCCTGCGCCTGCATTGTCTCCCAGCAAATCGCTTGGGATCCATCCGGACAGGTCAACCCTCGGCGATGACAGGGCTGGTACCTGGCAACCGGGGGATTCTTCATGGATTTTCCGACGAAAAAAACATGGATTTTTCATGTATGTTTGTGTCATGTGGTCATATGGTGTGGGTAAAATAACATGGTAAATCATGGGTAAATCCCAGAATGGCACCAACCAGCCTCACTGCACTGTGCACACCGAGCTTTTCCTGGTCCCATGATAGCCATGGGTTGCCGTAGCACCAAATAGGAACTAGCTTAGACATGCTTAGAAGGGAAGCATCACTAAGAATAACTATAGATAATATAGGGTTAACTGGGGTTAAGTAGGATTTGATCATTGTAGAATTCCATTTAATTGTTTGTTTCAATTAAGCGGACTCTTGCATTAAGTGGATAGTTAATAATCGTATTAAGTCTAACCCCGAGTTCAAAGTGGGCCACCGGTTGTATTGATTTCCGGTTCAAGGGAAATAATACCATGTTCATAGCATTTTCATTGCATTTTCAAACTCTGGATGAGCGGTCCCAAAGATCATCTTCGAGGTCCTCAAAATTCCACATGGGCTACCCACCCGTCCTGGCAGAAGGTGGTGGACCTGACCAATTCAAGTCAACCTTCACCTGCGGGAACCGCTGCGGCGCGGGAACGGCAGGTGATTCCGGTGGTTGTTTCGAGCAGCGTTGAAGGTATGGAAAATGAATGAAAATGCGTCATGACATGCCATGAAAGTAGATGAGTTCCCATGACTTCCCCTATTCCTTCGGAATCTTCGGAATGTCCATGGTGAAGTGTTCCATGACGAACTGTCAGAGTGCAACTGCTGGGATTTGGCACAGCTTGGAGCTCTTGGTTCGGACCACAGGTGTCCTTTTGAAGTGCTGAACTTTCTGCAAAAGGTAGTAAAAGGTATCTATCTGGCAACCTTGTCTCATTCTGATCTTGACATCTGCTGATTTCCTACATGAAAATCAAACATAAAACCACAAGAACTTTCGTCTATCGTCTAAATAGATGTACCACTGTCAAAACATGGTACATTGACAACATTGACATACATTAACCCCGTATATGAATGGGATCGCTGTGCCCCTTTATGGGAAAATTATGACCAATCTTGATCGAGTTGGTCGGCTCGGCGCGAGCAAATGCAGCAAATGTGCTGAACTGAACCACCATTTTGCTCCGATTGTTGATCCATACTATTGGGATATCACAACTTTATATATAAGTAAATGGGTAGTTGCTGCTACTCCCCGTTACTAACATGTTTGCCTGGAATGCATGTGTATATATATATATATTATTATTATTATTATTATTATCATCATCATTATTATTATTCTCATTATTATTAGTATTATTAGATATTATTAGTATTATTATTATTATTGATTATACTGTTTACATTTTTTTGCTATATTATATTATTATATCCCACTTACTTTTGTTGATGTGCAAATTCAATCATGTCAATCCCCAGTTTTTTGGGATATTTTTCCACAGTCACTTCAGGGTTCCCCGTCTCTTTTCACGTCGCCTCGAATTGCCCAAAGACTGGGCGATGGTCGGAGCATTGCAGCGTTGGTACCTGGGGGATCGCCAGAGGTCGTCACCATGGTTGTTTCGATGCGAAAAAAGTTGGGTATGACTGGATTATTTGGGAGTACCCCATAGTACCCCCCCATTTTAGGAAACCTCCAAATGGAAATGATGATGATGATGATGATGATGATGATGCTGATGCTGATGCTGCTGCTGCTGCTGGTGGTGGTGGTGGTGGTGGTGATTGATGGCGATGGCGATGGCGATGGCGATGGTGATGGTGATGGTGATGGCGATGGCGATGGTGATGGTGATGCACCCACATTTTAAGGATCACGCATCATCAACGCCGACAGGATTTAGATAGGCTGCAAAATGCTGATGGTCTGGCGGTACTAATCTTTGAAATGTGAAATGCTCTCAATTGCGCAACTACTGCTGAAAACAGGGCCACACCCCCATTTTATTGGTACGAATCTGTCTTGGGGTCAAAAGGTCTTGAGCCAGTACCCGGTTCTGAAAACCTTTAGCCAAAGCAGAAGAGGTATCAAATCTGAAACATTCTGAGACATTCCAATATACAAACCTCCGTACCATGTGCTCCTTAAAGATAGAAGCAAAGAACGGAAGCAGCGACCAGGATGACAACGACAAGGACAACAAGACTGGTGACAGGAACTGTCAGCCTTGAACCTGAGTAACTTGAGGCTCTAGATGAAAATTGCAAACCGTAACAAGATGTAACAAGCATCGTTGGTGAATGATGATTTTCAGCTAAGTTGTCACATAAAAAACAATTGGTACCGTATTCGTACCATGTAATGATGATTTTAATATGGTACCATATTCATCCCCAAAAAATATGTGCACTCTGATGGCACCATCATCACCATCCCATTCTGAATGGACCCAGAGGCACCGAGTTGTAACTCAGCGATTTGATGCCGGGGTCCTTCTTCCAGAGGATACGATCCTGCAGCCCACTGGACATGACCATGGTGTACCCTCTGGTAATTTAACATAGCTATTGAAAATGGCCATTTATAGTGGATTTACCCATTAAAAATGGTGATTTTCCATAGTTACGTTAGTTTACCAGAGGGTATTTGAAACCTTCGGGATCACAGCTTTTGTTTCTGGTTTACCGTGTCTTGCCGTGGTGTAGCTATGAAAAAACCTATTTGAATCTAATGATCTATGTGATTTGGCATATCTCGAGCCGTCAAGCTGGAGTGGATCCTCTTCCTATCTGGCTATCCT